CGAAGAGGCTCTGCCACTGTATGCTAAGACTCTGAGCAGCCTGGCTCAGCTCTGGCTCTCTCATCCTCGAAACCTGCCAATAAATCCCTTCTCGGTCTCCATAAGGCAGAACCCCAGCTGATGGAAACCGCTCCCGATGGCTTCACAGTGTGAACCTGCCGGGACAAGCCACCCAGCTTGTCCACCAGGGGCCACTGCTACAGCCAGCCCAGAAGGAAGACCGAGGAACTCTGGCCATTGCTGTGGAAGCAGAGGCAAGTTCACAGTCATTATTAACATGGTTTGAGGGCTGAGGGGCAAGGCCTTCTTAGAGAAGACACCACCGTCCCAAATGGATCATGGTCCCAGATGCATGAAGGAGGCGCTCTGGGCATTGACCTTGTCCTCCCTGGGTCTCTGGCTCACCTGGTGAGGAGAGGGGTTCCGCTTGTTGGGACAGGAGTGAGGAGCTAAGGAAGTGGTGGGGGAGGGTCCCGAAACTCCTGCAGCCTGCCTCTGCCTGGGGAGCTTTGGTGGGGGAGGTAGAGGCAGGCTAACAGCAGAGCGGGTCCCCTTTCGCTCAGGTACACTCCCAATCCAAGTCAGCCTTTTACCTCTGTAGCTGGGAATGGTGCTGTTCCGGAGATTGTCACCTCTCCCAGTTTTGCCAGGACTCGGGCAGACGAGAGCCCTGGGGTCCTCAGCAAGTCCTTAAATATGTTATAGGGCCTTACCTGCAAAGTGGGTGCAATTCTGTTTCCAGCAGTCCCCTCAAGGGGAGATGGGACAGGGATGAGCACCAGATGCAGAAAGGGACAGAACAGCTGCTGGGCCTTTGCTCAGTCTTGATCGCATCGTCCAGAAGGCTCTCCCACTCCTCTTCTGCCTGCTCCAACTTTGGTCAGGGGTTTAGAGTGCATGGCAAACCAGGGTTCGGATCTTGGCTCTGCCACTGACAGACTCTAGGGCCTTGGACAAGCATCTTGCTGTCCCCAAATCTCAGTTTGCCTAGCTGTGAAGTGGGCATCCTAACAGGGTGGCTCTAGGGGGCGTGAGCACAGTATGTGCTCAGGCATCTCTCTTGGATTAGTTCTACCTCTTCCGCCAGCCTCACAGTGAGCACTGTAGGGCAGGGAGGTGTCCCCATTCTTCCCGGCTGTGCCTCCAGCACCTGGCGCAGCCTGTGTGTCTATTTTCGGATGAATAGAGGCAAGCCCGAACTCCCTGGCAATCTGGCTACCTGGGCTGGCTCCTGGCTGGGACACCCACCAACTGCCGAGTCCAACGGGCATCATCTGTCATGGTGACAAGGCCACCCAGGCTGCAGGGCAGGCCCTCACTGCCCCACACAGGTGACGCTCACTCCCTGGCACAGAGTCCCTGGGTGGGACACAAGCAGGTTGGGGAGAAGGTCACGGAGCCTGATGTTTGATACAGGTGCCCAGAGCAGGCCATGTACCAAGAGGACAAAGCGTCACTGTCATGCGCCACCCCCCCAACCGGCTCTCTTTGCCTTCAAATTTAGGCTCCCCTACCCCCCCTTGGGGACCCCTCTCCCACAGCCCCCTCGGTCTCTGCTTGCACCCAACGACTTCTAACCCTCCCCAGCTCTCCCACACTAACACTCCCCACCACATGGGTTGTCCTGCACAGATTATTCCCCGCGGCAGCAAAGCTAGTGGTTGAAGGGGGCTCTGTCGTCACAGGGACCCAGGGCTGAAGCCTACCTCTGGTGCTTTCTAGCTGTGTGGTCTCATGCAAGTGAATCCACCTCTCTGAACCTCCACATCTTCATCCGCAGAATGGACTGGTTCTACTCCGGTGCCCAGGGTCCCAGGGTGGAGAATGTGAAGAACTTGCACAGAAGGCCGAGCGCAGTGCTTTGCTCACGGCGAAGGTCCGGGGGACGACCACTGGTTGTGGTAGGACGCCCCCGTTTCTGCCCTCAGTGAGACGGGATGTGACTCCCACTGCTCACCACCTCACCTTTGGTTGGGCTGCTTCCTCCGTCCCAACTGCCTCCCTTCCTGTCTCCAAAGGGTAAACCCTCTTTCCAGGTGAAGATGAAGGAACGCATCCTTTATGGCCCCCTTCTCCCTAAACACAGATGACCCCTCTTTTGACTCAGAAGCACTACTTGTCCCATTACCATGGAGACGCATTTTAGGGTGTGACTCAGGCTCGTTTTTCAGGTGACACCAAGGCTGGGAGAGGTGGGTCAGAGCTCCCGCAGCCGGTGAGAGGCGGGGCTGGGCTTGACACCGGGGTCTGTGTGACCCCACCGCCCCGAGCTGTCTGTGAGGTCATCAGGAGGGCTACTAGTATTGGAGGCGATTGTACTGATGAGGAAAGAAGGTTCAGGGAGTTGGAAACTTGTCCAGAGTCACTCAGCTGATGCAAACCAGTTTTTGATGCCAAGTTCAGGGTCTTACCCCACCTGTCTCAATGCCGGGCCGTGGCGGACTCCTGAGTCAGGAATGCAGGACCTTGGGCACCCCAGACCTGCTGAATCAGGATCTCCCTGGTGCCTCGTGGGAGTGTGGATGTTTGGGAAGCTCGGGTTTTGATTTCCTCTGCAGGCTTCTTTGCGGTCAGAGCAGCGGGTCACATCTTCAGTGAGGTTTTTCCTGCCATCACTGGGTGCTCTGTCTGGCTCTCTTGGTGGAAGGTCTGGAAAATGACACAGATCCCATCCTGGTCTACCCAAGTCTCTGAGTCTCCCTATGGCTCAGAGGCCACCTAACTGCCACGGGCTGGGAAAACCGTGAGGGGAATGTGGCTGCTGGTCCCAGGCCGGGGGAGAGGCTGGGCCAAAGTGTGTGGTGGAAGCTCAGGACATGGTGAGGGCTCAGGTAAAGGAGCCAAAAACCCGGCGCTGAGGGTGAAGTCCAGAAGAAGCCCCTCGGGATGTCCTGCTAACACCTCTGGAGGCCTCCTTGCAAGGAGTCTGAAACACAAAGATAATTCCAGAGAGAACATCAGTTAGGTCTCTGGAATAAAATAATGGTGACAGTTACACCGACCGCAAATCACCGACTGTCCTCAGAGGGCCTGGCACAGGTGGGAAGGTCATTGCATGGTGGGAAGTACGGCCCAGAGACGCCAGGGGCCTTGTCCCGGGCCTTGCAGTGAGCGGCAGAGCTGGGACGCGAACCCAGTTCCCGAGGCTCCAAACCTGCTCTGTCCAGTGCCCTCAGAGCCCCAAGGGCTCAGGCTCCAGAGTCAGTGGCGATGCAAGCCGGGCTTGTAAAAAATGTTAGCTCTCATGATGATTATAATGAGCAAGCGACTTCATCTTGACCCTGAAGACCGCCTGGCGTCCAGGAGCGTGTGTCTGAGTGAGGTGGCTGGAGGCCACGCCAGCCGGGAACGCCTCGGCCCATTGCCCGCAGGCAGCGTGGAGGAGGGAGCGGGCCTTCCCGCCATTCTGCAGAAGTTCCCTGGGAGACCGCGGCCGATTTCTCACCGCCCTGCTGTGACTGTTGGTGGCTGCAGAAGCTACCAGAAGTTGGGCTAGGGCCTGATGGACAGGCCACAGGCAGCTCCGTTTTCTTCTAGTGCAGGGTGAGCAAGTGTAGGAAGAGGACTAACATCGGATGCCGACTTGGTGCCAGGAACTGAGGGGGGCGCAGGTCACATGCTGCTCCATGTAATCCCCGTGCCCCTGAAGTGGGCACCGAGATTCTCAGGAGACACAGGCCGATCCCGGCCCCCAACCAGGAAGGGAGGGTTCACATGCGCCTCTGTGGTCCTGAGCCCTCGCTCGGCTTCTTGAAAAAGTGCACCGAACGAACCACAGTTCAGTTCTTCAGCGGCTCATCGACCTACGAAGTTTCCAGGAAGGAGGTCTGAGGCCTAAGGGAGGCCTGGATCTCCAGATGAACCAACCTTAGAGATAACTGGTCTGTCCATAAGCCTGCCACACACTTTTAGCAGCGCGACCTCTGCTAAGTCAACAGGACAAAGACCGGCAGATGGCTTTGCTGCAGTCCCAAACACGGTGGAGTGTTTCTCAAACTGTGTTCCACCTCAATATTCTTAGGCACTTGCAAGTTCTGACTGTGTACTAAAATTGTCTTCATTTAAATAAATTTTTAAAAAACCCACTTGTTTTTCCTAGTCGTAAGAACTTTCTCTTTGCCGCGGTAACTTGGCAAGGCCAAAATGTCACAGAACGAGGCTTTGGATTTTTAGGTGGGAGTGTCTCACACGCTGCCGGCGTATCTGGGGAAGTTGGTTCTTTTCCTTTGCCGGTACGAATGCTCCGTGTGAGAAAACCCAGCACACACAAACTCCTCTTGGGTGCCCAGGCATTCTATTATAAAAGGGCCGTCAGGCTTTCAGGACTTCTTTTCTGAGTCCCTGGATTTCAATGGGCCAGCCTCCTGCTCTGACCCTCTGGGGGCTCCAGGCTGGAGGCGGCGGCGAGAGCTCCCAGGAGGCCACAGCCACCGCAGATGAGGGCAAAAGCCACCTAAGGTGGAGCTGGAAAAACGGGCCGGTTTGAGATGGGTTTTCTGCTGAGCGTAAATGTGGGCTGAACAGAATGACACAGGGTTGTGTGTCCTGCAAGTACAATCCTCAGGGAGCAAAACCGCATAGACCCCGTTGTAGCTGTAAAATTTGCCTTCATATGTTTGTGAGAGTTATGTGGATGGTTTTCAATGAACACACATCTGTTGTATCCGTTACTGTATAAAACACGTCATCTGGAGTGATGGCTGCCTCTGGAAAAGTGGGTGAGAGGGACAACGGCCTGGGTGGTGCTGGAGGTGACCTGAGCTTTATGTGAAATGTGCTACCTCTCAAAACAGAACTGGAAGCAAATAGAACATTGTCAACCGCTACTAACTCTGCTTCGCCGCTAAGACTTGAGTGTCTGTTGTATTTTCCTCTGAATCGTCTTTCCACTGCGGGAGCCTATGTGCCCTTTAAGCTCCAGGCGCCCCCTCGTGAGCTCCCCAGGCATGTGGTCCTAAGTCGCTCCTTCTTCAGATAAAAAGCAGAACACAGACATCATGTGCTGAAGTATAAATTTAATAAAGCCTCTGATCACGTTTTAATCCCTAGGTTATCTATGAAACCAACCCCCCCCAACTTTTTAGAGCCATCAAGAGCCATCGAGGTGTCAATGAACACGAGCCATAAAAGTACAGATGCAGTGTTTTTGACAGTGTGGTATCTCCAGCTGTTGAAGAGAACAATTTAAATGAAATTACAAACCACCCCTCCTCGTCAAAAGAACAGATAAAGTTGGCGTCGGTGCTCAGAAACCACTCTCTCCCCAGCCCCCCGCTGGCGGATTCTCGGGTAATCCAAGTCAAGATGGAATCAAACGTCTCTGTGCAGGCTGATCGTCCTTTGGGCCCCAGCATAAACGTACAAACCTGCTCCGCGTACACGCGCGTTCTGAGGAGGTCTTCAAAGGAGTCGAGTATTTAAAGTGGCAAATCCACAGAATCAGAGGTTACTAACAAATCTTAAATAATAATAACAAATTCCTGCCTTTAAATTCCTTGCCATCTTTCCATCAAAGTAAAACACAAACTCTATTTTCCAGAAGCCCAGGGGCTCTAAGGGAGCCAGGCTTGGGCCCGGGCAGGACATGGCACCCAGCCGCAACCCTTTGAGGGAGGCCATGGAGATAGATCTTGCCCGCTTTGCCGCCAACATGAAGGTTTTTGCCAGAAGGTGCTTTGCTGCTTGGTAGAAAGCTGCAAGCCCCCAGCGAGCTCCACAGAGCAGAGGAGGGACCAGGCACTCCTGGCTTCAATCTTGGTGGTGGGGATGCATAAGGAGCTTGACGAGGGGGGCGAGGGTGGATGGCTGTCAACACAGACCATGGACATGGCCTTTGTCTCAATTCCCTGGATCTAGAATAAAGTTCTTATGATAAGGGGCAAGAATGAGGGCAGAGGAGCACAATGGGTTGGAAGAGAAAACGAAGTAAAAAAACCAAAAACCAAAAAACCCAACCCAGAGTTCTCTCAGCCCTCTGAGCGTCCATCAGTGTGAAGGGCTCCCGGTTCCCCGTGCTGAGGAAAAATGAGCGGCAAGACCAAGTTTCTTGGGATTTTACCATCAATGGGGGGAGGCCACCGCCCCAACAGGCTGGGAAACTCGGCTAGTGTTTGTTCCTTACTAGACAAAAGCAGGGCAAACAAGCAGAGGGAAGGCAGCTACCCCCTAATCAGCAGGCCTTGGGGAACAGCCAGCGCCCTCTGGAAACGGAGCTGCTCTTAAGGGCCAACAGGTATTTTTTCTCCCTAAGCCAGGATGCCAATGTGAATGCACGAGACAGGATCAAGCCAGTGGGGGCCTCCTGGCAGCTTGGCCTGAGGACTCAGAGCATCTGAGGCGAGCCTGGGGGTGGGGCACGGCCGCCGCATGGAATGCGTGGTTTCGAGGTGGGGGCAGTGCCCGAAAGTCCTGGGCTCTGCAGCCTTCCCGGCAGGCACCTCTGCTTCCCTGGGGAGCAGGTGGGCCTGACTGTCTGCAGAGAGGCCGCGTGTGGACGGGACGGAGGCAGAGACTTTGTCGAGTGCATAGAGGCTTGGCAAGGCCTTACCTGAGAAGGGAGTTTTCAGAAACAGAAGGAGAGCGTCTCACCCGTAGTAGGCTTTGTGCACTCGGGACCATATCGTGAAAACCGCTCTGGACCCTTGGAGTTCCTGGGACTTGTTCATGCACAGCTCACTCACAAGGTTAAGGAAAAAAAAGACTCACCAAAAAACCAAACTATCAAAAGGAGAAGGCCCTCTGTGATCACAGGCCTGGGCTTCAGACCCCGGAAAGTAGGAGAAAAGGATCAGCGCGGGCGGAACCTGGAGGTTTATTCTCAACACCCTTCCCATCAGTGTCACCTGGAGAATGCTACGGAGTCGTCATGTGCGTCCCAAGTAGTTGAGGCCACAGGGGAGTCTCATGGCTATAAAGAGTGAGAGGTCACCTGGCTTGTTGGTCACCCACTCCCAGGGTGACCCCGCCCCCTGGAGCTGAAGGCCCCTGGCAGCCCAGGAGTCGGCCAGGGCAGGTGGCGGGAGCGGGGAGCTAGGAGAGCTCGAAGCCCGTGTTCATGCTGACGGCGTAGCGCAGCTTCTCCCGGAGGACGCTCTTCTTGCTGTAGTTAGGCAGCTTGAGCAGGTTGAAGCAGGTGGAGGAGGTGGGCAGACGGCCGCCCGGCTCCCGCTTGCGGATGGTGAAGAAGCCCCGAAGCACGCTGCCCAGGGTGTCCCCGGTGTCCTGCAAGCACACACCACAGCCCTGGTTGGGAGGCACCTGGCGAGGGAGACTCGGCGGGTGCCAGAGCGGGCGACGCAGGAGGGGACCTGGCTGGCCTCGGGGCCGAGCAGAACGGCCGGTGAGAGCGCACTGCTGCCCGAGGCCGCCCCCGAACGGAGGCCCCCGGCCCCGACTGCTGAGCACACAGCAGCAGCCCCGGCAGCCCAGTGCTCCACGAGGGACCCCTGTGTTAGGTAAGCACTCAGAAAGGGGGCCTTCGGGTTAACTGCCAGTTATTGCTCAACCAATTTTCAAAGAGCCAGACTACTGTAAACATACTTCAGGTACAAAAACATGTCTAAATGCAGCCTCCCATTTCCTCCCACCAGCGCGTGGCCCATGGCAGACTGTAATGTGGGGCAACCTTCCTTAAGTAAGGGGACTGAGGGTTGTCTAGTGTCACATGAGGGACGTGGAGGCCAGACTGCAGCATCCGGAGAGGCAGCTATGCTCAGAGGCCGCTGGGTTTTTGCAGGCAGGGGAGAGGGGCTGAGACACCGAACAATGGCTACCACTGGAGCACTCCTTCCACGGAGCATAACCCCGGAGGCATCTGTTCCCCCTTACAGAAGAGGAAATGAAGCGGCCTGCAGGACGTGAAGGGCCAGCACACAAGCCCTCGCCTGCCCCATTCCTAAGCCGGTGTCCTAAGCCCCCTCCCACACTGCCTCTCAGACCTGGAGCCCCGGCCAGGCCACCAGCTACTAAAACCACCCCCAGGTACTCTTTCCTGAGGGAGTAAAGAGAAAGGGACCTCCGAGAGAGCTGAGGCCCCAGAGCAGCCCGAGTCCAAGGGCATCCTCTGGGGGCCCGACTGCTCTCCTGGCTGGAGGGCTGTGGAACCTTTGCACCTGGCTCCCAGGAGCTGCGCTGCCTGCCCCGCGGACACAGACCGGGTGAAGGTTCTACCCAGTGGGCACAGCAAACCACCACCAAGAGCAGCTGACTCTTCCCCCAGCAGTGGTACCTGATCATCTGACACTTCGACACAGCGGATGGAGAAGGGAGGCTTGAGGTAGGCGAATCCCAGGAGCGGGGGCCTGGAGCAGCTGGTCACAAACTGCAACACAAGGCAGGTCGAGGGGCCAGACTGGGGCTCTTGCTCCCTCAGCAACAGGCCCCTGGCAGGCAAGCTGCACGTTTTTTGCTTTCTCCAGTCATGGTATGACAGGAGGGTGACCACAGACCATGCATTCGGCCCAAGAACTTGTATACGTCTCATGTCTCAAGGGTGTTGTTCTTGAAGGTTAAAACACACGAAAGCCACACCAGCGGATGTGACCAGTCATTTGTGTGTGCCAGCCCAGGGGCTGGTGGAGAATGTGCAGCTGAAGAGTTCAGGAACAACACAAACTACCCCCCACGGGACCGATCTCAGTGGGACTGGCACGCGGGCCCTTGCTTCGAGAGACGCCATGCATGGGACCACTGGGCAGAGGGAGACGGTGGTGCCCCCAACACGTGGCACAGGAGAGAGGGCCCCACACCCCTGGCACCTGGCTTCCTGCTCGGCTTCCTAGCCAGCCAGGGGGAGGTGTGCAGGTGCGTTCCCCCAAGCACCCTGGACTGCTGTGTCACAGAGCAGTCTCACAGAGTGAGCTCGGCTCCTGGGGGCCCCTCCCTGACAGACGAATCTGCCCTCAGCATGCAGACAACAATCAGGCATCCGGCGCCAGCAAGGCTGAGGGGCACACCAATGCGCCGGACACCCGGAATGGGGCCCATGGGCAGCCACCCATGCTCCCTTGCTACACTCCTGGGATTCCTTGCCTCTCCCAGATGGCAGCACCTGGGTTATTTCATCATATGTGCTAGCTTGTGTCTGCACAGAGGAATCGGACTGACTTAGAAATCCAAGTGATAAACCTGCAGAGGGAAGTCTGAAGAAACCATTCGCTTTTTAGAACTGAACATCATTCGGGGCGCCTGGGTGGCTCAGTCGGTTAAGCGACTGCCTTCGGCTCAGGTCATGATCCTGGAGTCCCGGGATCGAGTCCCGCATCGGGCTCCCTGCTCGGCGGGGAGTCTGCTTCTCCCTCTGACCCTCCCCCCTCTCATGTGCTCTCTCTTTCTCTCATTCTTGCTCTCTCAAATGAATAAATAAATAAATAAATAAAAAGAACTGAACATCAGCTACAAAGGCTCTCCCTTCTCCAGGGGATGTACGGGCCTGCGACTTACAGCACCCAGCTGTGCTTCAGCAAGCTGAGTGTTTGGGTCTTAATACAATAAATGTTACCAATGAAACTGTTCTAAATGGCATCCAAAGTTTTTGTGTGGCAGGTTTCAAAAACCGTTTGTACACCCAGTATCGATGTTACTATCCAGTATGGCTTATTTTCCACCAGCCGAAGCACAGCAGCAGCTCCTACTAAGAAAGCAGGGCCGAGCGCTGTGCTGAGCGCTCTGGGACCCGGCCGCACCTCATCACTCCTCGGAAGCTGTGCGATTCGCTCCGTTTTAAGGATGAGGAGACAGACCCAGAAGAGCCTGTGCCTGTCCCAACTCAGGCCGCTCAGACCTACTGTGTGCCGCAAGCCGGGGCTGCTCTGTGGAGGGGGCGGTGCTTTCATCCCCCTGGGACGGGAGGCCGAGGGGCAGAGGGCACAGGAAGCTGCCATCTGCTCGTGTTACAGCTAAAGCAAGCACAGTCAGGTGCACTCCATACGAGGGCTGTGTCTTCCACCCGACTCGGGGGCCTGTCTGCAGGAACTGCAGGTCTGGAGACCGGCTATCCAGAGACACAAACACACCCGCTGTGTGGGACAGACTGCACACAGTTAGGAGACATGGGCTCTCTCCTCTTTCCAGGAGAGGCAGGGGAGCGGTTTTATAGGCCCTCAGGGAGTGTTTGGCCTATAAGAGGTGCTGCTGGAAAATCAGAATTGATTCTCTTAAGAATTTCTGGAATTATGTCTACCTGCCTACCCCAAGCCCTTTGTAACCTGTAGGGATGACCTGGGCATTTCTGCATCTAGGAGTGGTGGCCTCCTTGATGGGAATGAACTCTCCTCAGAATGACAAACCAAGGAGAAAGAAAACCCGCTGCCATTTCAACTAGTGGTGATACTGTTCATGTTGCCTCAACCACCAAGGTCACTGGAAACCATTCTAGAAACCCAAATGTCCAAAGGAAAATATTTCAAGGTACTTAAATCTACCCCCAGAATATGGCAAAGTGTTCAGGATAAAATATCAAACAGCAGAGCGGGTGGCAAAGTGAGGATTCCATCTTTATAAAAATACACAAGCATGTAACAAATACACAGACAAGTGTGTATGTCATCCAGGGTCCTATAAAAGGCTTTGCCGACGTCAGTAACAGGAAACAACATGGTGTCATCGGAGGGAATGTTTTGAACGTTTCCAACTTTAAAGACACCGGTATAAGGGAACTGGTTAATGTCAGCTACCCTGTTTGCAGAAATACACACTGCTATCAGCCTACTCAATCACGTGTGTTTTATGGGGACACTGTATGTGTGGTGCTGCATGTTTCACACTGCTGAGAAAAAGGTACACAGAGGCAGTCCCTGGAGAGTAGGAATGGAGATTGTTCAAAAGTTTGCGTGTCTGGGGACGCCTGGCTGGCTCAGTCGGTGGAGTATGTGACTATTGATCTTGGGGTCATAAGTTTGAGCCCCACGTTGGGTGTAGAAATTACTTAAAAAAAAAAAAAAAACTTAAAAAAAATTTGCTTGTCTGTATTTTAAGGTAATAAACACCATTTGCTTCTATAAGGAAGGAAGAAATGAGATGTGAGCAAGGCCAGCACCAGCGAAGGGGAAGACGGAGTGCTGAGCCCAACGAGCTCAAGCCCACGCAAGCCTGTCTCTGCAGAGGGGTCCGCAGCAGCTCCTGGGCCCACGTGACTCAGCCTCACCCCGGGCCTGTCTGGTTACTGCCTGACCTACCATGGAGGCGGCCTACGGGAGAGGATATGCTGATCATAGGAGGTCCTCTTGATAATTTTACTTTTTCCCAGTATAAATTATTACAGCAAGTGACCTCTAGGTTTATGAGAATATCTATGAATGCACATCTAGGTAACGTATAAAATACCTTCAGAAACATGGCTCTCTCGTCGGGTGTGAAGTCAGAGGCCAGAATGTCCCAGAGCCAGATGATGACCCTGTGACTTCCATGAAAGCCACCGTAGTATACCGTGTGCTTCCTGAAAAAATGCAGACGACGGGCTCAGCCACACATTCCAATGGGTGCTCACAGACACAGGCAGGGACGGAACTTAGCCAAGTGGCACAGCCAACTCCGGCAGGCCTGGGTGCCTCCTGACCTCTCTTAAAGGCGGAAGTTCACGCCTTCGTAACCCATGTCCCTGGAAGCTAAGGGGGTAGGGAGCTCAAGAGCGGGCCCTGAGACTCCCGAACAGGAGCTAACAGGAGATCCTGCACTGCCACTTCCCAGAACTCTGGAGAGCCCCACAGTCCTCGACACCTGCTTAAACTCTACTTCCACTTCTTAGTCTCTAGGCAGACAAGTGGGGGATCTTTTATTTCAGAGCAATTCACCCAGTGATCAGGGAGGAGAGCACTTGGAAGTGGGCTTCTGAAACAGGAGCCCAGCAAGGGGGCAGCTTGCTTTCCAGGAGGCTGAAGATTTCACCCCCCTCCCCACCTTCGCTCCTTACTTTAAATCTTCCAGATCAATCTCAGCATTGTCACCGGAGATGAGACGCTGTAGCTCAGGGGTTGAGAACATCCGGGTCCACTCGGGCTTGATAATGGAGCGGAATCCGCTAATGAGGGCAGCTGTCTGGTTTTTTATTTGGGTGTGCATCCGAAAATGTGCCATCAAATGGATGTAGCTAATCCTGTTGCCAACAGGAGAAAACAGTGGGAATTAGGAGGCCAGGCTGGGCTGTTACCAGTGGGCTGAAAGATGAGTCCAGCCATTTCTGGACCACTTAACGAAAACACCAGTGGTACCAGGGCGTTTCACCAGAATGACGGCGAGGATGACGACGATGACGACGATGGTAATGCTAACCTTCCTGAATGGCACGCTGGGTGCCACTGTGTATGTGTTCACTCCTCCCCCAAACCCAGATAAGGAGAGGGCCCTTTCTCAGCACAAAAAGTACAGCTTTTTGGACTTTTATTTAATTTCATCCAATTAAGAGAGAATTCTGTCCTCCAGTAAGCTTTAAAACGGGAGAAAAAATGGCTTCATGAGGAAACCTCCAGCAAAGCCTTGCTAATCTGGGCCAAGACTCGAAGCCATGAAAAGTAAGCCTGCAGAAAGCTGTGACCAAATGCAGCTAGCTTACACTTAGGTTCAAAGGGGAAGTCAGAGCACTAACAACAGTTCCGAGCAGATGGTCTTCTGGGCCTGCTTTACTGAGCACGATGACCTCATCTACGACTGTAATACAACGCAAACCTTTCCAGCAGGTTAAATCCAGGCTTGTTAGCATGGCTGATTTCTTAGCAAAGAACCTGAGCCCAGCCCAGGTACAACTCCCCAAATCCCAAATTAGCACAGTCCAAATAAAAATTTTACCCCACAGTGCTCAGATCTGAGTTTCTGACCCTGAAAATATGCTTATTTAAAAAAATTATCCAGCAGCAGACTTGCACATTGAGATACTTAAATATGACTTTTTCCATTATCGATACCCCTTTCATACACGCTTTGAAGCAGGTTGCTGATATTGTCCCATTTTACCAAAAGAGGGAGGGGGACTTTGGAGGACTTTCCCATTTAACAGAAAGTACAAGACCCTAAGGAGGGCGGAATTGGCGTTTCCAGGCCTTTTAAGACCATCTGTCGAACCGAATCCCCTTGCCCTTATGCTGAGCTTTTTTGCTGAGAACGTGTAAGTTTATGAAGTGGCTTTCACACAGGTCCAGGCAGGACAGGAGTCTCACTCCAGCACAGGCTGCATCGGCCCGCTGCCTCTGGCTGTGATCCATGCCGCTCCCACCATCACCCCCGTGCCACGCCCAGCAAAACACGGCCGATCCGAGGGTGGCGGGCTCTATGGGACATGTCACACAGCTGACATTGGGGACGTTCACTGCTCTCCTTTACTGAGGCCCCCCCCTTTGAGCCAGATATCCCGCAAGGTATCTTACACGCATGAGCTCACAGAAGCCCTCTGAAGGGATGGTTATAGGCACACGGCAGGGAGCGACAGGACGCGTCCCTGCTGACAGCTCCCAGCAGCGCCTCCCCACCTGAGCTCCTGGCTCTCTTCTCAGTTGTCCAACTAATGCCCTGTGGCCAGGAGTCAAAACTGGTGTCTTTCAATCCCGAGGAGAATCAGGCCCGTTCTTCTGACCACACTGACAGTCTAAATCAAAGCTCCGCAAGCATGCAGACTGCCCCAACCACCTGACCCGAGAGGGGCAGGATGCTCGGGCTGCAACGTGCATCTGAGCCAAATGACTCACCAGGTGGGACTGAGCTCTCACTTGTCACTGGGGGAGTGATGCTCAGATTAACAGTTCAGATGCTCAGCTGAGCCTGGCGGCAGAAGATTAATAGTTTGACAAAAGGGCCAATATCTACTCCTCATGCTAGGTTCTACTGTTTTAATTAGGTGAGAATAGTGCGGTGGAGATAGTGCATTAAGGAGTTTTGCTTCTAGGGACCAAAGAGGTTGACATTTATGATAGATTTCTAAAAGCCTGTTATCTGTGACAATAGCTGCCGGGCCTCCGAGTCCCCCCACGTCTAAGAACCTGTCTGTGGCATTTGAATTCATCACTGTGTCTTCTCAAGAACAGCATTTTATGCAACTGCCACATGCTATCATTCCAAAATGATCTGCCCCTCCAAGGTGTCCTTCCGCCTCCGTGCCCTCTGGGTTCAGGACTACGTGCCCAAGTGGCTCAGAACCCATTTGTCTGCATCTCGAGCCGTCATTAAATGCCTAGGAACACTGCGGCCTGGGTGCCTCTGCCCTTAGATGGGCTACTGCCAAAAATAAGTTGTCAATTCTTATTTTGCAAATCGAATTTAATACAGTTTTGGCCTATGAACTGTAACGAGTAAATTCCATTATGATATTTATGGCCTCTTTCTACTTCAATCTATCTTAATAAATTCTCAAAGTAAGACCAGAGAGCCAGAATGAAGTCTTTTCAAGTGCTGACCTTAAAAATCTAATTGCTATACTCACTTATTTTCATTCGTAACAGGAATGGTCTTCCCTCCAGGAATCAGTTCATGGCAAACAAGCTGGGGGAGAAGATGGGGAGCAATTACTTGAGAGAATTCTAACAGGGAAACAGGGCTTCCTGAAGATGAAAGGGCCTGACGCCAATGTCCGTAATGATGACAGAATGAAGATGGGACGTGTTTGGGAATAATCATTTTCACAAGAAGCCAGGGCTTAAATATCAACAAGCAGACCCTGCACAATCAATGTGGAAGGTTTCTTCTCATCCGAACCTCATGCAGACATTTGTACTAAGGCTTAAAGATATCACAGAGGGGACCATGTTTGCATTATGAGCATAGTTAAATAAATGTTGGTACAGCCGTACCCTGGAATGGTATGGTACCATTTCTGGAAAAAAAAAAAAAAAAGTGATACAGGTGCCCCGGGAGAAAAGTCTGAAAACACATGACACATTAACAGTGGTGCTTTCCTGGAGCTGGTCCTGTAACTGGCTTTTTCACGTTCTGTGCTCATCTTATAGCAGAATCTGTGGTTACCAGTTTGCATCATTTTTATTGTCAAAAGAGAAAATTCTGAGGAAGGCTCAAATCTGCTTAAAGATTTGAAGACCACAGAATCGAGTATTTTCCTCAACTTCAGGCATTTCTGGGGGTCACCTAAAAATCAAAGAATGCATACTTTTAAAGCTAATTTTAGCAGAAATTCTACTAATAGAATATCCTGGGTCTCTGATGATGAAGAAAGGAGCGATCGTGGCCTCTAGTCCCACCGTTGCCAACACCTTGGGGCAACGGGAGGACTCTGAAGCTGGAAGGGTCTTTGGCAAGCCCCCGGCCTGGTGTTTCCTGGAAAGGGCTCCAGGGAGCGCCCCGTCCGCACGCTACTACTTGGAGAGCCTCGGAGAACCGCTCTGTGGGAAGGCGGAGGTTCCTCCCTCACAGGCTCCTCAGAGCGCTCACACACCTGTGTGCTCGGGGCTCCCTACAGGAGCTCATGGCGTCACACTGCTCCCAGCCAGGACTCACACTCACGAGAGGTACTTTTGTGAGAGAAGAGAAGCGGGGCTTGGGGAGACGAGTGACCTTTCGGAGGCGACGCAGGCTCGGCTCCAAGAAGCCAGCTCTGCATGAGGAAGCTCTAGGTCCGGTTTCTCCCGCAGCCCTCAGAACACGGGCGCATGGAGGCTCACACAGGTGTCTGCTAGGACAGCACTGGAGGGCGCAGAGGGCACTTCGGGGGAAAGCCAAAAGGCAAGCTCTGGCAGGAGACTTCTCTGCTGCCACAGTGTCCACTGTCCTTTCCTCCTGCTCCGCTCTCCATGATGAGCAAGAGCAAGGCCTGGATTCTGTTCGAGGCACTTCTCGGGCGGCTTCTTCCCCTCTGCAAGTCACACGCCTCCGTGTGTGACAGCTAATCCTCACCATGGCAACAAAAAGCAATGTTACAAATGGGGAATTAGAGCTTCCATCAGGAAGGACCCTAAGTGCGATCTAAGCAGAGCAGGGTCTTTGTGGGGAGCTCTCCGAGGGCCAAGCAGGCAAAGGCCAGGTCAACTGGGAACGGAAGGGGGAACGCCCCCCTGGCTGGCGAGGCGGGAGTAGGGGGATGGGCAAGGGAACCAGACACCAGAGGACAGCCAGCCTCGGTTTGTGAACCTTCTCCTGGGGAAAACACCAAGAGCAGGGCAGGTCCCAGGAAGCCAGTGGAGGGCGGCAAAGAATCGCTCAGCCATAGAGGCCGACCTACCTGACCCATGACGTCCTCGTCGTAGGACAGAGTCAGGCCCAGGTCGGAGATGTCCCCGTCGTAGCGCTAATGCAACAGAGAAAGGGCAAGTGTTGGGACCCAGGCGGGCCATATCCTTGAAAGCTTTAACACTCCCCCCCACCACACACACGATGCTGCATGGGCAGGACCACTATGACTGCCACCCAGCCTGAAGCAAAGGGAAAGGCCACTCATCACCGTGAGGAAGGAGGTAGGAGTGGCCAGAAGGGGACGTGGGGGCCCATGGTGGCTACAGAGCAGCCCTGGCCCCAGAGCAGGAAATCGCCTCCCACCACACGAGAACCCCGAGGCCTTCACTTCACTGAGTTTGCACCAGCCTGCAGCGATGCCCTCCGCCATGCCGCACTGACCTTAATGGAAGTGAGGTTTTTATAGAACTCTGAGTCCAGCGAAGGAAGCTCGTCCACAGAGCTGTAGAAGATACTGTGGTGGTGCCCAAGCAGCTGGCTCAGGAAGAAGGACGCGAAGGGCACGTCCACCACAATTCCCTGCGAGAGGAGAGACAGAAGTTCACTGTCTGCCATGCAGGATCCCACCTCAGGGACCTTGTTGGGGTGGCTCGGGCCGCAGAGGGGCTCCGAGGGTGTCAAGGACATCTCGAGGTGCTTCGTAAACTTTTGAGGTGGAGACCAGCACCTCCCGCCACCTGCACACCATCCAGCGCCTCCGGGGGACATCACAGCGCAGCAGTTAAGGGCACAGGCTTTGGAGCTGCACAGCTCAGGGGTCCAGTCCCGGCTGCACTGCCGCCTGGCTGCGGGATGTCGGCTCTCCCCCTCTGTAAATGGGGACCAGCAGAGCCTCCCAGTTTTCAGGTTTAAATGAGCAGGGTGGAGAGGAACGCAAAGCATCAGCTCTCACTTGGAGACAGGGCAGGGGAAGGCTCCAGGAGAGAGACCTATCTAGGCTAGACCTGAGGAGCACAAGGGCTCTCGTACGAGGCCCACAGGCACGCCCCGGGGGGGGACACAGAGCTCTCTGGCCACAGCACAGTGTTTGAAGGAGGAGAGGCGAGGGATCAGGGCCAGATCAGGGGAGGCTTCCTGAGCTTCCTGGAGTCTGAACTCTCTGTGGAGGGCAGCAGGGAGCCCCAGGGGGGCTCTAGGCAGAGAAGTGTCAGGTTTGTACTTGGCGTGGGGAACGGACGGAGGAGGACAGGAGGCAGGGAGGGATGCAGCACGAAAACTGTTGCAGAACACTGCGGAGAACAGACAGATTGTTCTAGCTGGAGAGAAGTGTGCAGGTCAGAGAGATTCAGAAGGGACAGGGGCTCAGACTCGATGATGGCCCGTCTCAGAGGACTGCGAGTGTTACGTGAGTTAATACACGCTGCTCCTCACACGGGGCCCAGCATGTCCTAATTTCTCTCTGCGCTGTTACTGCTGGAGAAGGAGGAGACAGACGCTGGGTCCAGGGAACGGGGGAGCACATTCACAGAAGCCACGAAGTCATGCTTCTCGGCTGGCCCAATTCTTCTGGGCATATCACAGCTACATGTTTGAGAGAGAAATGTGGCATGTAGCCAGGTACATCCTCATGGGATTTTTTTTTTTTTTTAAAGATTTTATTTATTTATTTGAGAGAGAGAATGAGAGAGAGAGAGAGCACATGAGAGGGGGGAGGGTCAGAAGGAGGAGCAGACTCCCTGCCGAGCAGGGAGCCCGATGCGGGACTCGATCCCGGGACTCCAAGATCATGACCTGAGCCGAAGGCAGTCGCTCAACCAACTGAGCCACCCAGGTGCCCGGGATTTCTTTTCTAAATGGGAATCAGCTGAGAAATGGTCTCCATTTGCAGATGTGGAAACAAACACAGAAAAGGAGCCCAGGACCCCCACCCAGTCTAGGGCAGGAGGCAGCCTGAGGGAGCCTGGGCAGGGATGCAGAGGGGGCATCTGACCGCACCCTGGCTAGGGACTGAGGCCATGAACACAGAGAAAATGAGTATGCTCGCCCGCACATGGCCTCTCTCCCTCCCTCCCTTCCTCCACTGGCCCCAGCTACCAGCCCTGCCTTCGGAGGGCACACTGCCTTCCCTAGGGTTTGTGACGGGTGAGAGGTGAGTGCTGCTCAGGCACTCCTGGAGCCCACTGTGAAGGCCACAAGCTCCCGCTGCAGCTTTCCTTCCTGCCTGGGGAGTGGGACCCTCAGGGTGGGGGCCAATGCCCCCTGGAGGGAGTTCTGCCAGCCCGGCTTGCAGTGGACAGGGATCGGGAGCTATGTGGGCCTCACCAGGGGCCTGCACAAGTTCATGCCGCCCTGACCCCACGAGACCGACGAGCCGGGCACCACAGGAGGGGGTCTTCCCTGTCTTCGCTCATTTACTATCTACAGCAACCCCATCACGTAGCTTTTATCACCCCTACTCCCTCCGACCAGAACGAGGGCCTACAGAAATAAACGCGACATGCTCGCAGTCATACGCTGGCCAGGGACGGCCAGTCTCCACCAGCAGCTGGGGGCGCTGTCCTGCGGTCCTGTTCTGGCTCACACGCAACACTGAGACGCCTGCGGCTTGCTCTGAAGCACTCACTCCAATTACAAAAGATTTAAGGAGGCAGCTGTAACAACTAACATGCCCCACAAAATGCTGCCCTCCTACAACAGGACCACGCCAGCCTGGGTTTGAATTCGGGTTCTACCGCTTAACTAGCACTGAGAGCCTGGACCAGTGACTTCTCAAAGCCTCGGTCCTGTCACCGGCAGGTAAATGGGGCAGCAGCAGCCTGGCTCCAGGACTGGCGGGAGGGTGAAATGACATACCCCGTGGAAAGCACCCCGGATTTCTGTCCAGTAATCGTGGGTCCTGTCCTCTTTCCCGGGCTCCATCCTAATGACAGCGCCTTTATGTGGCTGGGCCCCGCCATGACACTGCGCACAAGTCCCCAGGGCTTCTAGCATCTTGTTTCCCCCCGGGTGCGCCGCTCCTGCATGTGCCTACCTCGTACACGGCCTTCCCCAGCATCTTGCCCACAAACTCGAAGAGCTGCAGGTAGTTCTCGTGAATGTAGGACGTGGGCGAGGGGTAGAGCCTCTCGTCCCCGCTGGTTGTCTGCAAGGGAGAAGAATGGAGAGAGGCAGGGAGCCTACGTGCTCGGCCCTTTGCTTCTCACTCGTCAGAGAATGTGGCTGCCATCAGCCCCGCTCCCACTCCCCTTAAATACCTTGAACAAATTGAGTGCCGGGTCGAACACCCTCTTGATGATCTCCTCCAAGAACTCCTTGAAGACGCCGTCCTGGTCAATGCCTGCCTCGTCCACCCCGAGGTCGTTGACGAACTTAACGCGGATCACGCCCTTCATGGCGTGCTGGGAGAGCTGCCGGAGCTGCTCGTAGCCGTCCTGCCAAGGGCAGAATGGCAGCCCATCAGGAGGGGGAGGCCCTCTGCCTAACTCACGGCTGCCGCTCCAGGGTTCCGGCTCCCCTGTGTGAAGCCTTCCTGGCGTAACTACTGAACACGCAAGTCAAGACGTGGGTGTGGGGATGGGCAGTTCTCACCCGTTTTTAAATGAGCCGGTTAAAAGGAAAACTCATCTTGGGGACGGGACCCCCCTGCTCTGTGGCAAGGGGAGGCTGCCCTTGAGATGATGCAGAGCACGGAGATGGGGAAACCCGGCAAGATGAGCTGCAACAAGCTCTTCGCCGTCAGACAAAGGACGGAAGTAACGGGGACAAGATCCCACCCTATTTTAATGCAAAGACTAGCTTATTTAGCTCATGGTAAAAATCAGTCAAACTCAGACCCTATGAGATAAAAATAAAAATACCCCCACGCCTCAACTCCCGGTCTCTTTCCCCAGATCATGAAAGGCCTGGGTGAGTGTTAGGCTAAGGAATTTAGGGTCCACCCTGAAGGGCAGCAGGGAGCCACAGAAGAGTCCAGGCAGGGAGAGACATGACTGGCTTTCTCAGAAAGATCTTTGTTGGTGGCAGAGCAGAGATGGCAGAGACAAGGGTGCAGGAGTGATGCTGGGCCCACACAAGGCAGGGGCAGCAGGGAGAAGCCCAGCACACCCCCTGGCTGGCAGCCATCCAGCAACCCCCATGCAGAACTCGAGGATGCGACTTTAGAGTTCTCGTATTCGATTATATTGTTTAGTCCGCCTCTCGATTCTAATCTGTTGAGGTGTTTAGGCTCCTGGTTCTGTGTTCCTGGCATCAGCAAGCTGCTCAGGGTTTTGTTCTCGAGGAGTGACTGCCAGAAGCAGTGCTGAACAAGACAGCAGCCAGGGAGCAGTCTCCTGGTCCAACAGGACATACTCCATCTTGGGGGTGCAATCGAGCTCTTTAGATACTGTCGTGTAAGCTGCAAATCAACTGCAATATCCTACTGAGGCCACCCTGCGGATCTCCCTCCCAGTCACAGCCATGGGGCCGTCAGACGTTCCGCTAACACGAGACAGACCATGTCCACGGCAGCCACCTACCTGCCAGTGACAGCCCTTGTCACAAAGCACAGGGGCCAGACTGGTAAGAACTGCTTTGGGGTTCTTCCTGCTGATCATATTTCCCTCGTGATGCAAATGACTGTCCCCTGGTGGCTCCTGATCTTATTCTGGGGTTAAACTCCCAAGTTTGAGAGCCAATAATAACCATCTGTGGAAGGCAGAGGCTTTGGGTGTGCAGTCCTGAGAAGCACCTGAGAAGTGGAAGTTTGAGAACCACCAAGTGAGAGGAAAAGCAGCGGAACACAGGAAGTCAGCACGCAGCTGCAGCAGAATGGTCAAACCATTCTGCCTACATTTATGGTAATTATCTTGGCACGGAGTCCGGGATGGGTGGAGAATTCCAGCATGTTCTTGCTTGCTTGCAGGACTTCCTCCATTCTGCTCTGAAATGATGCCTTCCTAAGCTGACTTCGCATTGGTAGGGGTGCCAGGATCACGCAGATTAAATGAGATGGTGTTACGTGCAAGCACTTAGCATGTGGCCGCACACATGGCAGGTGCTTAAGGAATGTTCGCTGGAGTTGAATCTCGCTTTTTCTTTATCAGCCCCATGTTGGCCTTTTCTTTGAAGAGCTGGAGAGAGGAATTTGCCAGCTGCTTCCTCTGACAAACTGCCTGCTGCGCCCTCTGGGCACGAGCGTCACTACACAAGAACTGGATTGGTGTCCTTCCTTCTGGAAGGTGAGCGGGAGGAGGGTATCCCTCTTCCCCACTGCATCTCAAACAGCATAGGCAGAGGACTCTGACCTGGGGATGAGAGCCCAGCTGTCCCATTGAGACCCGAGTGAACGTGACTGTGAATCTTAACTTCTCTGGCCTCAGTTCCACCTTTGACCGAGGGGACAGGGCTGGGCAGAGGATGTCTTACTGTTCCTCCCGGTCCTGAGATGCTAGGGTCCTGGCCCAGTTTACCCTCTGTGAGGAGAAGCCTTCTTGCAAGACTTCAAACTAACACCTGCAAGGGGAATACTGAAGCGCCATCTTCAATAAAACCACAGAAAAGGAGACTGAATAAAAGGCCAGAAGAGCATAGGCGTGTCTAATATCAGCTTTTTGATGCCCCCTTGTGTCCAAATCAAGCAAATGCCACTGGGCTCTCCTCTCGCAACCAAACTAGCAGGTAATGAGAACTAGGGTAACTGAGTATGTGACCCTCTCCTCCTCCTAGTTCAATAGGAACAACAGTAATCTGTTTCATGACGAGATAGACTCTAATGGAATAGAAGAAGAAAAGTGGACTTGGCCAAGAACCTAAGACAGACACCCCTCCTGTGACACCCTGAGGGCTGTGTTTGAGATAGCAGGCCTGGGGTAACCGGGACGTGCGGTGAGTCTCCCACAAGCAATGACACTTGAGGAGGGAGCTGGGGACTCCGTCACTCTCAGGACACGTACCAGTCTCTACCACCACAGCCTTCCTGTTGGTGCCGGCAAATCTGAGGGACTGGGGACCGTAAGTGACAAGGGAGGAGCATCCAGATCTGATAAGGAAAGTGCTGGAGAAGGGTGTTTCCAAACACAACTGGGCTTTTTCCTCTCTGAGTCAAAGCAAAGCCTGCAGACTGGTGGCCCACAGGGTGGATTCGCTGGGTCATCTAACCTTCCAGACACTTCACAAAACCCCAGTCATTCACAACATAAAAGCCCCTTGGCCTGCTCTTAAAAGCCCAGAGGAGGGCGCCTGGGTGGCTCAGTTGGTTAAGTGTCTGCCTTCGGCTCAGGTCATGATCCCAGGGGTCCTGGGATTGAGTCCCATGTCGGGCTCCTTGCTCAGTGGGGAGTCTGCTTCTCCCTCCCCCTCTGATGCTCCCTCCCCGCTTGGGTTCTGTCTGTCTCAAATAAATGAGTAAAAGCTTTAAAAAACAAAAAAACCCCAGAGCATAACGGAGCCTGAATTCGCACACAGAAGTTGTCAGGTGGGATGAAGAGGAGGTGCCAACCCTCTCTACTGCTCGCCAACCCTGAGGCTGCATGTCAGGTGTCATCTGCCCACTCAAGAGAGGGGCTCTTTTTCTCACGTAGTTATCTATGCTGAGGGCTGTGTTTTAAGAAGAGCAGGAGGGAGCCACGGAAGTGAAGAATACGCCTCCTGTTTCGCGTGCAAACAAGATGCTCCTGTGCGGACATACTCAGCCAGCTTGACCCATTCCCGTGACCAGGGAGGGTCCCTGTAGGCACTTAAGCTTCTTCTACTTTTAAGAATGTCAAAAGCATCATCTGGCTAACACACGCTGCCTCTCCCCAGCAGACCCGTGTCAATCGCCAGTGTTCAGGGGAACTAAAAGCAGCTCTCCAGGAAGGAGCAGGAATGCCCCAAAGGGGAGAAATGAAAATGTGGGGGAGGGGGTGGGGAGGAAGGGCCGCTGCCAGTGCCATTTGCTGGTGGCTGGCTATGTGGCCATGTGCCCTGCCGGGATCCCACAACTGCCCTACACCGCAGAACGTGCTAATTTGCCAGGGGCTGTGGCTGGAGCCAGAGAGAAGGTCTGAAGGGCAAGCCCAGGCAACTGTATCAAGTCCAGCCTCTCCTGGGAATGTGGACTTGGGGTTCAGTCACCAGTTTGACCTTTGGCAGGCTCAGCACATTTGGGAAGGCTCCGCACTGCACAACCCTGAGGGGTACGGCACACAGTGACCTCATAGGCATGTACATTTACTATATCGACGTTCCAGCGGATTGTCATCAGCATCATGTCCTGACAAAAACATTAAGTTATTACAATTTTCGGACATACAGAGGTAAAGTGTTCTGAGAACAGGCATCTACCTCTTGTTCACATGAAGCTGCCACACAGTAGTCACGCTGGAGACTGGGCTTGGCTGAGGTGGGCCACTGTTTCTCCTAAGCTCCTGTCTACGAAGAACCCCTAGCTCTGTGGTAAATGCACCCCCCAGTATGGCTCAGTCAACTTACTACCTACACTCCAGCCTGCACATTCACAGTTGGGAGTCTGGGCAAAGTGTCTCCCAGGGCAAAGGGAGTTTGCCCAGACACGGGAATGTCTGCACGTAGCACCCCTTGTCCTCACTGCAAAGAGCACCAAGTGTTCGATGTTCCAGCCCTGGGGCCCTGGTGGGGAAAAGGCAGGGAAATACCACACTGTGGGTCCCCAGCACTGAGGTCATGTTTAATCGAGCAGCTCTCCAGAGCACATGATGGGACCAACAGCCCCATTCCAACCCCGAGCCTTGATTTCAGTGCTATTAGATCACGGACTGACAAGAATGGTTGGAGGTAACGGATCATCCACTAAAACTCCAGCATTTCACAGAGTACACCTCTTTTTGATGGGCTTCTCACCTCCAGCATCCGGGACCGTCGGATAGTGATATGAGTGACGTGGGGAGAGGCCGAGCTGGTCTCCACGAGCCCCAGTTTCTCCTTCTCCTTGGTGACCATGTTTCGAAACAGGAGAACTCTCTGAAATGAGCAAAGGTGAGACCAGAAACTGGGTCAAGAACCGATGATTCCCGGAGACACAGTGTACAAGATTAGTGAAAAAAGTCATATGAGAGGCAAACAGAATAGGACACTCTGATATGAGCTGCAGGTTAGAAGTGTCTTGGGAGAAGAGTGGACATTCCCCAACACAATCTGGGGAATTAGAAATTATAGCCGAATACATGCCAAGGAAGAAAGGTCCCAGAAAGAGCGGTCTGGCTGTAGCCAGAATGCACTTTACAATGGTCTGGGAGAAAATGGTTCTCATTCAGTTGATAAACCACTATAAAGACCTGGCGTCAGGACAGGTTACAGAGGCTGCCTTATATAGCTGAGCCTGCTTTAAAGGAAATCAATGGTATGAGTTACAAAACAGAAATATTTCAAAGATAATTTTTTTCATGGTCAGAAATTTTATCTGCGTCCTCTGTGCCCTCAAGCACACCATAGCCCAACCCCCGCCCCCCACCCCCTGCCAAGTAACATTCCTCAATTACTGTTAGAGAGGAACCCTCTTCTCCCCGCCGCATGGTCAAGATTCTGATAAGCCCCTTTTAGGAGAGCACGGCCCTCTGCCCCATCCTGGCTTTGAGCATCACTGCTGTACAAGCACTCAGATGTCAGCTGAATGAAGACCTAAATCCAACCACTGCTGTTTTTTTTAGCAAAAATGAGAAGCCCCACCGAAGCCAAAAGCTTTGTTAAATACAAACAAGGACAGTCAGAACAATAACAATGGTAAAAAGGGTTAACTATATACAGGGGAGGCTAGTGCATTCACATTTGATCATTTAATTGAGGCTACGAAGTAAATACGGCTGTAACAGGAAAAGCAATTGCCAATGGCCTCCCGAGGAGGAATGTATTTGGCAGAGGGGCTACTTCTCAGCGGGGCAGCTTAATGTGGCTGGTCGGCAAATCTAGAAACAAGGACTGAAGTACTCTGAGTAGTACCAGAAGCTCTGGGGGTTCTATGACAACATGGAGGGGAAGAACAGACTGAGCATCAGGGAGGGCGGCCGTGATGGGGGTGAAGGGCACCGTCGTCTATCCCATCTGTGCGGGGGGATTGCCGACTTCCAGAACAGGTCTTTCATTTGTGTGGGCTGTGGGGCACAACGGCTTCCTCTGACCTCAGATCTTTAGCACGATCACCTGCACACAAGGCAGAAGAGCTTCCCATCTGGGTGGATCCAGTATGGGGCAGAGACCTCATACACAGAAGTGGAAGTGCAGAGGAGGCTGAGGGAATGCCCGCCTCCCAGGAATCCCAGGATGAAGCCCTGATTTCCACGGGGTGTGGAAGACGGATTGGGGCAACTGTAAGCAGCGCTCAAGGGGCTGAGAGGCCTCAGCGACCACAGGAGACATCTGGGAAAGGACCCGTGTCTCCACCGTGCAGATGAAGAAAGTGACTCACCTAAGGTCCCACAGCTGGTGGACAGAGGGGCCAGATTCAAACCCAGGACCCACACACAGACCACCACACCACACAGCCCCTGCCCACCTCACAGGGTGCCAGGCATTCCAGGCCCAAAGAAGAGAGAAAGGCCTCAAGTCCCAGTCGCACATAGATTAGTACAAGCTACGTAAGACAGCACAGAGAATGAAGTGCTGTGTGAACCAGGCAGAGTGGAGGCCTTTAAAAACATTAAGGGAAGCAAGAACAGTGTTGTGAGCCAGCCACTTGAGTGAGGTCAAAAACAGGGAGAGTTTTGGCATTTAGAGCCGACGTGGTAGTGACAGACGCAAGAGAGCAGGCAGGACTACAGAGACCCTATCACCTGTGCCTGCCGGCAAGACGTGTCAGGGCGAGGGCAGCACACGACACGTCAGCACGGAACAGAGCCCTCACCACTCCGACACACTGAGCCGCAGATGCCCTCCTGGACCTGCCGGGGCCATCACGGGATCAGGACAGGGGCCAGGAAGAGTCCCCAAGAGACAGGAAAGAGAGACTTCGTGAACCAAGTAACAAAAGCCTTGATGGCAATCTTCAGCAAAATTCCCCGAAGAAAAACACAGCAAGGATTAGATTAGAGCCCCCAGGTCATGCCAACTAATCTTAGAGGTTCCCAGGCTTCTTGTTCTCAGCACCCCTAAAGGCTCAGGAAGGACTTTCATGGCACTCCTAGGTCAAAAGAAATACAGCGCCATTTACAAGGTGGCTAGGGTCCTCAACCACTTAATAAGTATTTGTGTGCATCGTCACCTGGGCGGCTCAGTCGGTTAAGCATCTGCTTTCAGCTCAGGTCATGATCTCCGGGGCCTGGGATCGAGCCCCGTGTTGGGCTCCCTGCTCAGTAGGGAGCCTGCTTCTCCCTCTCCCTCTCTGCCCCTCCTCCCCCTGCTTGTGTTTTCTATCTCTCTCAAATGAATAAATAGAATCTTTAAAAAAAATAAATATTTGTGTGCTAAGGACTTAGTAGCTATATTTTAAAAATACGTGTACATTGAAATTAAAAAAACTTCTTTAAAACCCAGCTTAGCAAATAGGACATCCTCAAGAGGAATGCTGACATCATGAGCTTGAGCCGGTACTTCACAGAGTGGCCAACAGATTTCATTGTGCTCCTCTCAAAAGCTTAAAATATCCTGTGGACAACCCAGGGCCACCCGGGCACGCCATCTGTGAACTGCAGAGACGGAGCGGAGATCCCAGGCCACGCAATATGGGAACGCCACAGTCCAAGGCTGACTTTGCAGGCACGCAGGCCCAGGGCGAGGTGCTGTGTGAGAGTCATCTGCGCATCTCAGAAGATTTAGAGATTCCACTGTCTGTGGCTGTTCAAGGACCAAAGGGTCGAAGGTACAGAGCAATCACTCAGTTTCAGGTGAGGAAGAACGTTCCATCACTGGGCAGAGTAGAGCAACAGCACGTCTGGCTCTATCTGAGGCAAGGTCAGGGATATGGTCGGAAGGGCTCCCTCTGGGGGTGGGGCTAGGGGGCACGTTTCACTAAGTCATCTCCATGAGATCCCTTCATTTCTGAGAGGCTCTGCTGTCAAGTGCAACAAGAATTTAAACAGCCACATCCGTCTGCGAATTGCTACTTGAGGGAGAAGAATGACAATCGCGAGTATTAACATCAAGGTCAAAACAGTATCAGCAATGAGGAGTAAGTATCTCCGAAAAATAAGGTTCAATATACAAAAATGTGACTTGTGCTCTTTTTTAAGAACGTCTTTCGTCAAAAAAGAAGGAAAGGAAAGAAAGGCACACGAAGACCTGTAGGAGCCCCCTCTGAAGGAGCCCCGTATTGCTGCGGTGTCCAGCAGACGTTTCTGGAGCGTCACTACAGACCAGGGATGCGGGCGGTGCCTACCCTCACTTCCGGACACTATCACCACAGGACCCGACCCTTTCTGAGCCTCTCCAGTCCCTGGAGTCTGGGACACCACATTGCTGGTTTCCTTCCTCTGATTAGTCCTCTCCTCATGCTGGCGCTGTAAAGGACAGCTCCCTCGTCGTCTTACTCCATGTGGCTCCCTGACTACCCTGTCCATGGCCGTGGATGCAGCCAGGTTTGGGCACTGTCCACATGCGGAGCCTCTCTCCAGCTCCGTTGTCCAATGGCCTCAAGGAGTCGTGGACACCTCAGCTGTTGCCTGCTCAAAGCTGACCTCACCAGCACATCCAAGACCTGCTCTTGCCTGTGCTCCTACCCCAGGAAATGACTCCCAAAAGCGCCCGGGAGCCCGAGCCAGAAACACGCCCACCACCTGAAATCCATCTCTTTCTCCTCTGAATGTCTTCGTTCTTATGATTCTATTGTCTTTCCACTCCTCTAACACTGCTGCCCCTAGCCAGGCCTCTATCCCACGGCCAGAAGGAACTCTCTAAAGCATAGCTCTGACCAGGGGCCCCCGAAGCTGAAAACACTCAGTGACTCCAACCGAAATCCACACTCCTGCCCTTGGTTTGCAAGGTCCTTCTGACTCCAACTCCTACAAACCTCCTCAGCTTCCTGGCTCCCCTTTATTTTCCCCACAGCCAGACCATACGGCCAGCCCTTCAGGAGCACCATACTCTCAATCACCCGGGCCTTTAACCACTGTCCGCTTTTGCCTCTAGAAGCTTCTCTTGATTCACTTCCCCCTATTCCCAGCTGGGTCAGGTCCGCTTGTCTGGGCCCCCACAGCAACCATCCCTGTAACATGCACCCCACCTGCCAGAACTGCCAGTTCCCACTGTCTTCAGTCTCTGTACTTGGCTTAACACCTGACGAAGCGGGAGATCCAATCACCGTTCGCATCTGCTGAGTGAATGAGCTCAGTTCTTTCTCTCCAACTGCTACAGTGAAGAGGGCAAGTCAGGTACCACGTGGTGGGACAGAAAAATTCACAGGAGCCCAGCTCCGAGAGCAACTCACGTTTTTGTGGGGAATGACGTGAGGGATGTACTGCAGGATCAGCTGGGCCCGTTTCCTGTCCTTGTCCAGTTCTTGGAAGAGCACGCTAGGTTTGAGATCCCTTCAGAAGAAAGGCATGGGTTTGGGGTTATTACAACACGAAAACCATTCTCTAGTGCAGGGGTGGCCAACGACAGCCTGCTGCCGTTTCTGTAAATCAGTTTCCATGGAACACAGTCACTACATACGGTCTCTGGCTGCTTTCACGCTACAACGGCACAGTTGAGCACTTGCAAAACAGACCGTGTGGTCGGCAAAGCCTAAAATATTTACTGTCTGGCCCTTTACCGAAGTGCCTGCCAGACCCCACTCTAGTGCCACAACCTGAGTTGACATGTCATTGATAAAAAATTGCAGACATCTTACGTTTAGTTGTTGCAAGAGGATTTCCCCACGCCACCCCTGAAAAACCTAGCTGTCCTTTTTGTCCTGTTCATTCTGCTGATAAAAACCACCGCTGAACTTTGTAACCTGCTGTTCAGTTCAGCTAGAACGTGCTTCCCATTTGCTAAATGGGACCTGGCGCTGTCACCATAATGTTCTCTCATCACCGTCAGCATCCGCACGTCCTCACAGACGCAACTGCTGGGCGTCTGTCCTCCTAGAAGGACAGGGGATGCAGGAGGGATGACCACCCTCCGGCCCCAGAGCATGAGTGCAGAGAGTGACGGAGGGGACTCTGGCTTCTGCGAAACCCCTTCCCTACCCCGCTCCTCACTTGCGCAGCCAGTGGTCCTCAGGGGCGAAGCGGCGCCGACAGTCCCGCTCATACAGCACCATCAGCCACCCGTGCACGGACTGGAACAGCTCCAAAGTCTCCCCCTTGGCGTTCTCTGTGGGGCAAATGAACGGGGGAGCTGTATGCACGGAGCTGGTCAGAGTCGGCGGGGGGCCAGGAGGACAGCTTCTTGTCTCCGTCTGTCACCAAGCCCCACCAAGGCCCTCATCTCCCTCATTCTGGATTTCACACAGAACCAAGAGAATAAAAGGCGCCCTGGGTACGTTCTAAATGTCTGCAGGACCTGGGTGCCCCAGACACAATCACTCATGCTGCCTCCCACTAGCAGGTGATCCAAAAGACCTTTTTAACGTAAGGAGCTTTGTACTGAACTTGCAAGCACTTCAGGACGGGAACTTTGATTTGAAGTGTGCCCTGACACGTCATGGAAATCAACTCAAAGAAGCAAAAGGAGAGGCAGGGCAAAATCCTCAGCATCAATAATCCTCCACATGTATATGTACATGCTGGAGGGAGATCTAAGACCTCCATAACCACACTGCTACCTTAAGGGGCCATGCAGAGAGCAAAGAAGTAAAACTTCTAATTACGTGAATAAATGTGCCTTTCCAATTCACTGTGATGGGCAATAAAGCTAAGAATCAGGTGATGGTACAGACCGTGGCCTCCCTGTGTGGCATCGCTGAAATGACAGCTGGCATCTTTACCGTACCTACGAGTCCATCCCAGATCATCTTAAACACAAAGGAGTTCAGGAAAGAGGAGATGGTGACCAGCTCTTCCAGTTTGAAGGAAATCTGTTCTTCATAAACTTCAATGTCGTCAAGGATCCTAAATCAGATGGAAAATTAGTCACAACTTCCCACTGAGGAAAGGGGGGAAAATAGGAGATCTCTACCTCTTATGAGAGAAAAATAAGCTCAAGAAATAAGCTTTATCTTTCAGATAAAATGTACAGCTAACACAATAGGATGTGTAGGATCTGCTTCGGGATAACGTGGAAGGGAGAGCCGGTGGGGGTGGAGGGAAAGCAGAGGTGGCTGCATCCTGACCACTGTGGATGGGTACGTGGGGGTTCCTTCTACTATTCTCCCCACTTTCTATTTATTTGCAATTGTCCGTAGTAAAAATTTTAAACCTACAATTGAGAGAGGAAAAAAATAAGCTCCCCTTTATATTTTTCTTATTCGTAAGGATCCGACTGTGACACCCTTCTTAATTCCTGCCTGAACTCATGCCTAACGATCAAGGAATCTCGACTGAGAGTCTGTGTCCACTGAGGAGAGCCATGGAATCTTCCTCTGCATCTACGACAACCACTAATGTAGGTGCCTGAGAAGAAGTATTTATGAGGAAATGAATGGATGCCTGAAACAACATGTGCGTAAATGAACCGTTTAAGTTACAGCTCTATGTGAAAATTTCCCAAGACTGCTTCATTTGCTTTACAGCACAACTCACTCTCAGCTCACGCTGGACCCAGCCAATCAGCGAGTCTTCAGGGGCAGCCACAGAGCCCTGCGCTCGCCTCCAACTGCTCACCATGATTCTTACCCACCTACCATCCCTGATCCCCTCCTACCAATCAGTGTCTTCTACCCTGAACATAACTGTCTGGGATCCCTTCTCTCTTATAATTCTTTACCAACCTTTGGGAAAACGTGGAATTAAAAAAATACCAAACACACAAGTAGACACATAAGCTTAAAAAACAAAGGAACTGAATGGGACTCACATTTGCTAATGCCCCACTCTGTGCCAGGCACTGTACTGAGAACGTGACGTTCCTTTTCTCATTTACTCCCTATCAGATTGCTAATATTATCCCCATTCTATGAATAAGGAAACCGAAGCTCAGAGAGGTTAAGCAACTTGCCTAGGGTCAGTTTGATAATCATAAGCATCACAGCCCTTCCTGTGTGCCAGGGACTGTGCCAAGCACTTTGTGTGCATTACCTCTTTTAATCCTTACCACATGGCCAAGAGGCACATACTACTGTTATTCCCATCTACAGAGGAGAAAATGGAGGCTCAGAGAGGCGAGGCCCCCTTGCCCAACGTGTCTCGGGAAGTGGCCAACCCAGGATTTGCCTCCCAGCTCCCTGGCTCTGAAATCTTCCAGGTAACTACCTAACCCAGTGAGTAAATGGTGGAGGTGTGACTTGAACCCAGCTCTGGGAGACCCCCAAAGCCCACACACAAGGGTACTGACCCAGCTCCCCTAGAAGGATGGGAACTAAGAATTGCTGAACCCCGACTACGTGCTGCCCACCTTGTACTGTAAATGTTTTCTGGCCTAATTTTCCTAATGACCCTGCCACAGGGGTCCGAACGATGGCAGTAATCACATCAGCAGCAGCTTCCTTACAGCATTGTGATTTGGCTTCTCCACATTCGAGGAAAGGAATGGAGGCCCACAGCAGTCAACCTACGTGATGAGGTGCCGGGAGCAGTCACAGAACAGCATCAGCATGGCCAAGAGCTGCTTGGACTCTTCAGTGTCATTGTTGAGGCATTCCAAGAAGAGCTTTAACCCTCCGTGGGGCCCCAGCTCACAGATAAACGCCCACAGTTTGGGGAGCAGGTCATCAAGGTAAGTGAGACCTGGAAAAGGATAGAGAAACCCAAGCTTCAGGTGGGGGCTCCATCTGGTCCACGGTTTCTCCTACCCACTGGGGGAACAAAACGCTTACACTTCTAAGGTGCAATCACTAAGAAAATCATTATCCCCATGAGAGGAATAATCACAGTAATAGCTAATATTTCATGGGTGCTTTCCAAGTTTCAGATATCAATCTAAGTACTCTGCATGCATTATCTCCTTTCTATCCTGTGAAACCCAATGTTACCTCCATTTTATAAGAGAAAAAAACTGAAGCAGGGAGAGGTTAATTAGCCCCAAACCACTCAGCCAGTAAGTATCAGAGCTAAGAAGAGAACCCACATCTGTTTGACTCAGTGTTTATATTTTAAATCAGGGATCAGCAAATTTTTCCTGGAAAGGGCTAGAGACTAAGCATTTTTTTAGGCTGTATGGGCCTGGCTTAGCACCCTGTCACACTACTGAAAGCTACCCGTGTAGCACAAAAGCAGCCACAGACAATACATAAATGAATGGATGGGACTGTATTCCAATAAAACTTTATTTGCAAAACCAAGTGGTGGGCCACATTTGGCCCACAGGCTGCAGTTTGCAGACCCTGCTTTAAACCATCTTTCAGGCTCACCTATATTTATCAAAGCTTTCCTCTCCTCTACTTCTATTATTCTATCTCTGCTAAAAATGGGAAAGCAATGAATGACTGTAGCAGAGATCCTGTGAAGTGTCTCACAAACATTTAACCCTGGGTGAAGCAGAAGACATTTTAGATCTGCTTTCTGATGGCCTCAAGGCCTCAGACACACAGGCTACAACACTGTTACATTTTAAGTCTATTAATACAGCTATTGACTGAGAGAGCCCGGCTCTAAAGTTCCACGTGTCTCTGAATATACAATAAGGTGTCTGTCTCAAATTTTTCCTCATATTTCACTTTATATTTGAGTCCTTATAATATCTCTCATTTTACAGAGCACTCTGAATTACTTAATTGTGAACAAAGAACTGCTTGGGGAAGATATATTTGCCTGGAACAGGGGCAGGATGACACAATCTATGCTGCTATAAATGCTTAGACTGGGGTGGCCTGAAGGGACCATAGAGGAGGCAAAGAAACGGGAGTGCCCACTTAGTTATTATTCGTAAGGGTCTGAGCTCACATTTTCAAGGTAGCAGAATGTGGTTATAGAATGCAGAGACCAAAAAAGAAAGAAGAATGCAGAACCCTCACAATTTAAAAATAGAGTAAGAGAGAAACAGAGTGAGTAGTTAAACTGTGGAGACCACAAATGTACTCCCACAGGACAATTAGGAAGAGCAACTACTCTCACATTATGTGAATGGTCCTCACGGTGTGGACGAGAATACTCATTTCCAGCCTCAGACACAGATTCAACCAGGGCTGCATCTGCAGCAACTCCAATAGAAATGAAGATGCAGGGCTCTGGAGAGCTCTGCCAGGGGCCAGCACGTGGCTCTGGGCCACCAAGTGCATGTGAGGAGCATGAGCAAAGAAGTGTATTATCTTCTACAATCTGCTTTGCATGTAGCTGAACAGACCGAATACTCTACAAACACTTTAGACTAGTTTACCTCCTTCTTAAAAGGATGTATTTTCAACTTAGCCGAGAAAGCTTCTTTCTGGGTGCTCTCACTCAGACAACAGGGATGCCTGAATTTGTGGTCACCTTAAAAAGCTGAGCACAGGCCATAACCTAAAAGTCACATCACTCACTATGCTTCTCAAACCCTCACAGTGGGTGCTGGGGTGCCAGGCTTGGTCTAGACCCGTTTGCCTCCTTTTGCATTCTCCTGATGGAGCCTGCCCTGGGCCCACGGTTTTACATGACACCCCTTTGTCTGTACCCCCACAGTATACTCACATGCCTGTTTGGCACCTCACACTCATCAGAGCCAAAGAGAACTCGTCGTTCCCCACAAGCCCCACCCTCAGCTGGCTGTCTCCAGCTCAGCAAATGGTACCACCATCCACACAGGCTGCTGGGGCCAACACTCTGGCCTCACCTTTGAGGCCTTTAGCCTTCACTCTTCCAAATCCAATGTACCTGTAAGACCTATAGACGCGACCTCTGAAACATGTACAGAGGCCCCTGCTTCCCACCCTGCCAGCACACCCGTCCTGTGCTGTTCAACCAGAGACCGTGCTGCCCCAGGCGGCAGCTGGCAGTGTCCGGAGACACGCAGGGCTGGCACAACCGGGGAGGGGGCAGCACTACCGGACGCCGGGGTAGGGGCCAGGGGCTGCTAACCACCCTACAGCGGACAAGACAGACTCCACAACAAAGAATTTTTGGGCCCAAGAGTGCAGCAGTGCTGAGGCTGGGAAAGCCCGCTCCAGTCCAAGCCCACACTGTCTCCTTACTTCCGCGGTCACAGAGCCCATCATGACAGTAAATACGCTTTTCCCTTGCCTACAGCTCGCCTCCCTACTCTTAGAATCCTCTTGGGAAAGGGACTCTCGCTGCCTTGGTCACCTCTTCACCCCCACGGCCTGGCACAGACAGGTGCTCTGTTAACGTCTGAAGATGAATAAATATGTGTGAAAGAGAGAAGCAGTGGCAATCTATAATTTTAAAAAAATGTAAAATGAAAAAGTTCTTAACCCTTTATGCAGTCAACAGCTTCATGGCCTACAGACTTTCTGTCCTCATCACACCAATTCATATGAACAAGTCCTGCATGGCAGTGGGAAGCCCCAAATGCCCAAGTCCCGTGTTCATGACACACACGACTTTCTTCCTTGCTCGGCTAAGAAGGAAAACGCTGGGCACATTCGTGTGATGAGATACTATGCGGTCAACAGAAATGAAATTTTGGAAGAATTGTTGACAATGATAAGATGCTTCTAAAGTGATGAACAGAAAGGGAAAGGTAAAACTACATATTTCAATCTAAACATACATATATATAAATGTGGTACACTCAGGCACAGGTGGTTATCCTTGGACTATAGGATTAATATGGTCTAAGTTTTCTTTTTTCATGTCTTTTCTAGTTTTCTATTCAGAAAAAGTAGTAACTTTTGAAGGCAAATTGCACTGCATAATGGAAATAAAAGCCAGGTCACAGGAACGAACTGGCAGCGCTGGGACTGAGGTCAGTGTGAGCCATTTAACGGAGGTGTATCAACCTCTAAGAAGAACAGCTCAAAAATACCCTCCCCTTCAAAATGTATCTTCTGAGCCAAGAAAGCCGGAAGAATATCAACTTTTTCTAAGAAAAATCATCCGCCAAATGTCAGAGATGGAAGATGCCGCCTCAGGACTCCGAACCTGTGAGTATCTGTAGCCGGATCTGGGTCAGAGTCGTCAGCGAGGTCTGGTAGAGGACACAGATGTTGCAGACCTTCTGGACCTCCGCAGAGTCCACACGCTTACCCCCAACAGGCCTGAGAATATTCCGAACGGATGCAGACTTCTGAAACGCACGCTTCAGGAGATCTGGCATGGAGAGGAGAAGGAATGGGTGAGCAGACGTTCAGCCATCTGTCTGGTTTTCCTCTGTAAAGAGCATTTCAATAAAGTGCCTGATTTACAGCCAGGCCTGGACGGTGGGGCGGCTGCTCTGACTCAAGTCATCTCTTTGGGACGAATTAGAAAAGCGTTAACAATAGGCTTTTAGGTGCAACCCAGAGACCTCTTCAGAACATCAGAAAATATCTCAGACCAAGCCAAGTCTATTTGACTCCTACAGGGGATTCTTTTACCAGACCCCCTTTTACCAGGGAGATTTTTCTGATTAGGGGCTCAGAAAGGCTCGACTTCCCCTAAGAAATGGGCCTTCCTTCCTCGTGTTAATGAGTAAGAAAAGATCCACAAACCCCCTTTCATTCTAGCTACTAGAAATTCAGAGCCAAATGGAAGTTCAGAGATCCCCACTGTAGCCCTCAGGGAATCCATAATCTCTACACATGGTCTTGGTCTGGTTCACCTATTTAGGTTTCCCTGGTCCTTGTTTTCCATCCCTAAGGGTTTTCTGTTGCTCTTTTGCTAAATGTGAACTTGGTTGGAGCAGTCTTTTAGCCTGTGTGGGAGAAGCTCGAGTGTCACAGAAGTGGAGGGGGCAGGCCCACAGGGCCCACAGGAACTGCACTGGAGCCAAGCAGAGCCCTGGGCTCCGCCCGCCCCAGCCACTCACTCTTCACGGGAAGCACATTCTGGGGGGATGCTGGCTGCACGTGGGCTGGCTCCTGGTTCTCCAGCAGCTTCTTGCTCAGGATGTCACAGAAGAAGATCCGGATCAGAGGCACCCCCCACAGGAACTGCAGCTGCTTGGTGATCAAGGGCATGGACTCATTAAGGCTAGGAGAGAGCAGGAGACCAGGTGGGTCAGTTCTACCTGATGGATGGCCACCGACAGCTCTCAGCTCCCCACTGGGCCTTCCACGCGGGGGGCTGGCTACGGCCTGCCACTCAACATGGCAAATAAGAGGATAAAAAAGAGAAAGTGGGATCCACAAATGCCACTGAGGGCCTAGATGCATAAGGTACTGCCCTCTTTGTCTTCTCTGCCACCCTCCCCAGGGCTTCCTGTGCCGCTGACAGCATTCCTGCTCACCCCAGGGCCCCAGGCTCTCCTCAGCACAGTCCTCCCAGATACCCCGTCTCAGTTCTTCATCCTGACCCCACCCCACTTACCACCCAGTCGACAAAAGCTAAATGATTCTTGTTGTACGGTCCTCTTCTTCACACCTAGACTGCAGGCCTGGCCCGCAAGTCTCCGTGCCCCCAACCTCCTAAGAGTCTCCTTGCCTTCAAGTGCTCCCTCCCCCAATCCACATGGCACCCCAAGCATCAGACTCCCTCCTGAAATCTGCCTTCATCGCCTCCCGGCTCTCCATCCCATCAAGGCTCCCTCAGGCTCCCAGCATCACAGGAGAAAGAGACACCACCCACGAGCATGGGCCAGGCCTAGAGGCAGGCCCTTGACATACCTTATCTCATTCGGTCCTCTGAAACAACACTATCCGAGGACTGGGAAAACTGTCCCCATGTTTCAGGATTGGAGAGTGGGGTAAAGCGGCTTGCCCAAAGCCCCCAGAGCAGACCAGGCTGCACAGTGCTGTGCTCTCCCGCCCCTCCTGCCTCCCACAACCTCCCTCCCGAGTCCCAATCACACATGCTCCATCCTCTTCAGGCTGGGATGTCACACAGGGACCTGCCATCAGCTGGTCATTTGTCTCTTCAACTGGATGCCTCTCAGGCACAAGGAAAAGGGAGACAATCTGGGGATTTCCTTCCCTGGCCCTCATTCTTTGCCTCAAGGGCAGCTGCCAGGGACCCACGCAGAGATCTGAACAGGAAAACAGTGGGGAGCCACAGCCGCCTTTGCTCTGAGACCTGCCTCATCTCAGTCAAGGGTACAGCTTTCATTTTCAAACTTGCGATGCCACTTCACTTAATTGCTCTTCTTGCCTAACATTTTTAATGTTTTTGAGTTCTGTAATTAAGAATTTTTAAACCGATATTCTACCTCTTGAAAAGGATGAGGTGACTTCTATCCCCTTTCAATCATGTGTCTTATTTCAGTATCTCCAAAATATGGCAGTCTAGGGAGTCAGGAAAAGCGATATTGAAAAAGAAAAAATAGTATTTGATAGATGAGGTTCATAGTTTACTAAAGAATTAAATACAAAAAAAATGACCTCAAAACAACTGCTGATATTTACAGGTAAAAAAAGAAACTGAAGGGATATTCACGCAGGTTGTCTCCGGGTAGTGGCATAATGGGGTGGTTTTTAGTCTCTTTTGGTCTTATCCAGATTTTATTCAGTGAATATATATTACTTTTGTAACAAACAACACAACACAAGCTGGAAGAAAGGAAGGAAGAAGGGAGAGGTGGTGAGAGGCAGGCAGGGGACAGGAAAGATGGCGGTTTGCCTCCAGGACTCACCCGTAGTCCACAGATTGCGAGAACCAGCCGAGGACAGGGTGCCAGTGTGTCAGGTTGGATTTCTTCTGGGACACGTACTTCTGACAGTAGCACAGCATCTGGGTGAGCAAACTCACAAACCCTTCCGTCTCCTCCTCTAACACCCTGGGGCTGAGGGAGCCCAAGTGCAGGAGGTTGCCTACAAAGAGAGAAACAGAGTGTAGTGGGGCCAGGTGACCCACTGCGTCACCTTCACAGCCCTGCTCTCTGCCCAGGGCTCCTGCAGACAAGTCCATGTGCAGGAAGAAACTCCACGCAGAGAGGTGCCTGGCTTCAAATCCTGGCCCTGCCACAGAGGAGCTGCGTGCCCCTCAACCTGCCTCTCCAACCCGTTTCCTCATTGTAAGACTGGAACAAAGCTCCCCACTCTTGATGTGAGGATTATATGAAGTAACGTAAAACATCACACAGAGGTGTGTGATCTTTAGTTAGCGTAACATTTTGATATTACGCTAAGATTAAAAAATCAAGAGCCGGTGTAAGAAATGACCTTTGGAAGGACATCTGAGCGTTCTGGGAAATCACTGTTGTCCAATGTTCACCGAAGTTATTCAATATGCCTTGTGTGAGGCCTCTCACCATAAACTCTCTTAAAATTTTGCCCCGAGAACCCTTTTCTATGTAAAATAAACTTCTTCTAAGTGATGAGAATTATGTACCACTGCTGATTTTAAATGCTTCTATCCATTTGCTTCTGTCCTGTCCTCATTTACAAGGAAAACGTAAAATAGATGATGCAGGCCCTACTCTGATCTAAACACCACCTAACTGTGCCCGTTCTTCTCTCTGGAGATGGAGAATTATCCAGGCGATTCACGGCATTTTCATTTTTCCCTTGGCTGCCAGGAAGCTGAGGGCCCAAATTTAATATTCATTTACAGTCACTCAATTAGGTTGCCAGGTGGATATATTTTCCATTGATTTTCAATTTTACGTGTCTGTTTTATCTATCTGGTTATATGTCTTTTAAGTACTTCCAAGTGTTACTAAAAACAACTCATGATCTCCAGAACAGTAAAAAACAAAAACACTTGGGACTTTTCCCGACACCCAGAACACAGTCAAATTCCAGCCACAGATACTCACCCATTAGACAGAGCGTATGGCATCCTTCTAAGCTTTCACATACGTCACGGCATCGATCTTCGTTTCTTAAAAACATGATGAATTTACGAAGCATGTCATGAGATTCTAAAACAGTGAGGCGCTGCAAACAATTGCAGACTGTTAGAGCGGGAGCTGACAGGAAGAATTTCCCACCACAGCATGAATGTGAAGGCTTGCAGATCAACACCTGGATGCCAAATGTGCCCTCAATGGCCAGGAAGAATACTAACAAAGATGAGAACCTGGTTCTCTGGCCTGCTAACATGAGCGTGCCTATGGTGGCTACTGGTTTAGAAGAAATCTCAGGAGAAGAAGTGGAAATTAACAGAGAAAACATTTACTCTCTAATTACTAAGAAGAAAAGCAAAAACGGACTCAGGGGGACATCACGGAGTCACTTACCTCAGGGGTCACTGTGCTGAGATGAGTCACAAGAGCAGGTACAGACATGATGTGGATGAGGAATGGCCGAATCAGATTGTCAGAAAATTGTGCGGCAATCACAGGGCTAGACACAGAAAGATCACCTTAATCACACGGGCTTGCACGTCACCCCAGAGCCAAAGAGCAACTCTGCCAATGCCCCCAGTTCCCCTGGAATTATGCTTCCCAGGACTTCTAGGAAAACTAGAGGCTGAAAATGAGGACACCTGCAAGGGGAGTGGCTGAGTCAGTGACAGTATAGTGGTAGGATGCAGCTATGAGACAGAAAGCCGTTTTGAAGTTTTACTGACATGAGCGTATACTCATGCTGTAATAAACTTTAAGGAAAACAGGATGAGGAACTATGTCTATGGGAGACAAGAGAGAAGGTAGTGACCTGGAGGAAGGAAAAGAGCTTCTGGAATGCCAGCACTGTTCTATTTCTCAAGGGGAGGGGTCCTTATGCAGGCGTGTTTACTATGTGATAATTGACCAACAATTCACACTTCGATTAAGCAATGTACTGTTAAGTATGCGTTATGATAATAAAACTTAGATATGTGTATATATAGATAACCCCATAAGTATATACAAGTGAAAAAAACCCAAGAAGGACAGATTTAAAAAAATGTTAACAACGTATGTCTGGGTGGTAGAATCAGGAGAGACATTTTTTCTTCCTTATACTACGCTATTTCATTCAGGTTTTCTACAATAAGCATGCAATCCTCCATAATCAGAAAAAAAGATAAATGTTACTAAAATAAGATAATGACCCCTACCTCACACCATATGTAAAAATTAACTCAAAATGGATTTTACACCTAAATGCTAGTTTTACAACTAAAACTGTAAAACTCTTAGAAGGAAACACAGCAGTAAATCTTTGTGACCTTGGGTTTGACAATGATTTTTTAGGACAAAAAAAAAAAAAAAAAAAAGTCACAAAATTTGGGGCGCCTGGATGGCTCAGTTGGTTGAGCATCTGCCTTCGGCTCAGGTCATGACCCCAGGGTCCCGGGATCGAGCCCCACACGGGGCTCCCGGCTCAGTGGGGAGCCTGCTTCTCCCTCTGGCTCTGCCCCTCCTCCTTGCTGTTGTGTGCACGTGTGCTCTTTCTCACTCTCTCTCAAAATGGATGAATAAAATCTTAAAAAAAAAAAATCACAAAATATAAAACTTGTGGCTTCAAAAGACACCATTAAGAAAGTGAAAAGACAACCAGCAGAAAGGGAGGAAATATGTGCAAATTATCTCCTGATAAGGGACTTTTATTTGGAACATATAAAGAACTCAAACACTCAACAACAAAAGACAACCCAATTAAACAATGGGCAAAGAATGCAAATAGACATTTCTCCCAAGAAAGAGATGCAAATGGTTAAAAAGCACATGACAAGATGGTTAACATCACTGGCCATCAGGGAACTGCCGATCAAAACAACAGGGAGGGATCACCTCACACCCATGAAGAGGGCTATGATAAAGGAGATAACAAGGGTTGGTGGGAACTTGGAGAATTTGTAACCCTCATTCATTACTGGTGGGAATGTAAGACGGTGAGGCCACTTTGTTTGGCAGTTTTTCTAAAAGTTAAGCACAGAGTTACCACCTGATCCAGCAATTCCACTCTGAGGAATATATACAAAATGAAAAGCATGTCCACACTAAAAACTTACACATAAATGTTCACAGTAGCACCATTCATGATAGCCAAAAAATAGAAACAACCCCAATGTGGCATAGCCATACCACGGAATATTACTCAGCCATAAAAAAGAACGAAGAACGGATACATTCTACAACATGGATGAAAGTGAAGGAAGCCAGGCACGGAAGACCACACGTTGTAGGATTCCATTTATGTGAAATGTCCAGAACAGGCAAATCCCAAGGGAGAGAAAGTAGATTAGTTGTTGCTGGGGGCATGGAAGGGGGGAGGGGGTGGGGGTGGAAGGGATGTGACTGGTGATGGGTATGGGGTTTATTTCGGGAATTAGACAGTGGTGATGACTGCACAACTCTGTGAATGTACTAAAAATCAGTGAACTGTGTATTCCAAAGGAGTGAGAGGTAGGATATGTGAATTCAATAAAGTTATTTTAAAAAAACACCAGAGGTCATGCAAGAAAAAACAAAACAAAAAAAAGAACTTACAGGAGGAAATTGATCTCTTCTAGCTAACGTGCTCCAGTGGCAACAAGCAAGTATGTTACCAGTATTTAGACTATCAGAATTTGTATTATAAACGTCCACTTTCAAGGGTACCATTTTTGGGACCAGAAAACTGCATATGGCTGAAGTGCTCAAAACACCAGTGTCTACATCAACCACCTGTCTATAGGAGGCTGACCAGTCAAGCTAGACTCACTGAGCTGAGTTGGACAAAAGCGAATTCTCTAAAAAGAGAATTAAGTTACTTTCTGTATGTTAGAAAGAGGTGTGGATCAGGACTAAGCAATTACCTAGACAGAGGAAAAGCAAACCACAAGAGAATGTCACCAAAACTTTAACTCATCACTTCCCGCTTCCAAGGGGACGCCAAGGGCAGGATCCCACCCTGAGTCATATCCCGGAGTAAATCCGCCTGGCTGACCAGGAGTGAGGCACTGCAGGACTGCTAGGAGGCAGGGTTGCCCTGAGGGAGGCCAGTTTCAAAAGACCACACATATACACCAGACACTCCATTTCCCTCAATGCCCTGTTATCTATACCCCCAGCATGAGGTCATCAAAAATTTCCTCTAGCCTTGTGGTTGTTGCACCTAAGCCCCCTAGGGTGACAAATCCTTCCAGTGTCCTGTCAGTGGCACACTGGACAGGGTGCGCCTTATGTGCGGGTCTCAGGGTTAGGCACGGCAGGCGAGCAGGGGAAAAGAGAGGTTCACTGCACAGTACCCGCCAACAGAGAGCTCATGCTGCAACCAGGGAGCGGGACAGGCACACGGGAAAAACAGAAACTGAGCCTGGGCAAACCTGGGGCCTGGGTAAGAAATGGAACAGGGAGAATTTGAGAAAGTTCCCACGTGCACGAATTCTATATATATTGTACCTAGAATACAAAAATGTGTCCAATACGGGAGGCAGGTAGGCAAGTGTAAAAAAGAGCATGGGCTCTGGAGTCAGACAGCCTGGGTTTAATTCCTGGCCCTGCCGCTCCCTGCTGTGTGACCGGGGGCACGTGGCTTAACCTCTCTGGGCCTTAGCTTCCTCATCTATAAAACCAAGATAAGAGAACGTGGTAAGGAGTCATATATGTGAGTAGAAGTCTTAAAACAATTGTGTGGCCCATGAATGTTAGCTATTTGCATCGTAAGATTTGGTGATCATGTCTAAACATATCATTTATAATTTTATAGACTTTCAACAGTTTATTCCAGTATGACAAAACCACTAGGTATCTTGTTTTAAAAGGTCCCGGCCATTTTCAATTACATACAGATATTCCGAGGGGGAGAAAGTGCACTGTTTAAGAAAAAGGCTTTAAAGCAGCCCGGCCTTCACAAGTGAGCCAAAGGACTCTAAAGTACAGAGTGAAAAAACCTAAAATGATGGATGCTACCGTATTCTTAAGGGAGAAGAAACGTGCTGGAATGGGTGGACGTGACCCTCTTGGTGAATCACACCATGAATGACAACCCTCTCGAGGCAGGGGAGGGACGCCGGAACAGAAGGAAGATTTGTGTTCTCAGGGAGACCTAGGAGGTGGCAGAGCTGCTGCTGTGCCTGGAGCTCAGGCATCCGTGTGTCAACCCTTCGCTGCCCCTGGCAGAGGAGAGGGTGGGTGATGCCGGAATGAGCCGCCCCAGAAGGTGACTCAGGAAAAGAAGTTGAAGGAAACCTCCCACTGGAAAACCTGTTTGTACCTACATCCTACGACTCATTAAATACAACTCCTCTCAAGGTCTGCAAGGAAGGTCTAATTGTTTACTGGATAATCTGTCTAGCTCTGGAACTAATTATAGCATCACTGGTTGACACCTGCTCTTCGGTCTTAAGGATCTCGCCTCTAGAAACGAGCAGTAGCCGCTGACCACGTGTGGCTCCTGGGCACTTACAATGTGGTGAGTTCAGCAGCAGACAGGCTTTAAGTATAAAATCCACCCCAGGTTTTGAAGACTCCGTATGAAAAGAAAAAAATTATTACTTTTAAATAAAATAAATTATTTAAAAATACTGACTTCATGTAGAAATGATTATACTTCAGATACACTGGTTTAAACAAAATAGATTATTAAACTTAATTTCCCCTTTCTTTGGACTTTTTAAATGCAGTTCTCATTATATTTCTACTGGCAGGGCTGCTCTAGACCAGCCTTGTCCCATAGAACTTTCTGTGATGATGGGAATGTTCCTTTATTTGTGCGGTCCAGGAAGGTCATCACTGCTCAGTCCCATGTGGCCCGGAAGCACTTGAAACGTGCCTAAATGAGGAACTGAATTCTTCGTTGTAATGTATTTCTATTTAAACAGCCCCACAGGGTTCAGTGGTTAGTGGACAGCACAGTCTAGACCAGGAGTGGCAAAATATGGCTCAAAGACCCAATTCTGCCCACTGCCTATTTTTCTAAATACAGTTATATTGAAACACAGCCCTTCTTGCTTGTGTATGTACGGTCTACAGCTGCTTTGTGCTGCAAGAGCAGGGCAGTTGTGACAGTGTGTGGCCCACAGAACCGAAAATACGTATTAGCTGGCCCCTTACCGAAAACGTTTGCCAACTGATATTCTAGAACATCATTTTCCAAAATAGTATTCCATAGAAAAGGACTCCATGGGACATTAATAGACATGCTCCACCACTGTGGATTAGCAAAGGGGACAGAGCAGGGAGCTCTACCAAGCTAATTTGACCCCAACACTCCCTCTGCCCTAAGTTATTATTATCTTAGGGATTAAGATCAGCAGGTTACCTTATTAACATCTTCTCCCAAGTCAGTGCTCCTTTCAACAGTTTAAGAATGTTCCAGACACAAAGACACAGCTTTGTGTACACGGCGATTCTCTGAATTGCAGGCATAATTTCTACATGGAACTATTTAGCTTCGTATGTATTTTGTATCTCCTAACTAAGTGAAGACAAACAGCACATCCTCTCTGGGCCTCCAGATTTGAACATTTTAAACCCGTGTTCACAACACTACTCCCTTAACCCTCTGCTTGGCCCTTTGCTGAGCCTCCTCCAGCTCTCGGGTTCTCTATATCGATTAAAAGCTCAAAAGGAAAAATGCTTGTGTCTCGGGCCCTTGGCACAATGAAAAGCAATTCACTTTGAAAAACTTCCTTCAACTCATGCTGCAAAAAATTCAGGGACACAGACAGAAGAGCTGCCACAGATGCGTCACAATCGGAAGAAAGACACTTCCTGTGAATTCGGACAAAGTGGGTAGCCCACACCGAACATAAGGAACAGGAGAAAAGGAAAGCGAGGGGAGGAAGCCTCCCGAAGTACGCCAACCCCTCAGATGGAGTTTACCACTTACCGCAGCGCTAGAGAAAAGGTTGCAGTTAAAGTGCCTTTGGACAGACAAGGCCGGGGTCTCGCCAGGCCACGGGTTAATAATATCTGAAAAAGAACATTTTAACTGGTCAGGGGACAACGCCAACTATATATTCACTTGTACGTAAAAAAGCAGCACAGAAGTAAAATGAGGGCTTCAGATAAAAAACTCTACTGGAATGTTTTCTGCAAGTGAAGGGAGAGCAAAGTGAGGGTTAGGGTTAGGGGTTAGGGTTATCGCCTTCATACACCTCTCTTGATATCGTATTTAAAATTTTGAAATAATAAAGAGCTAAAAAAGTTAATGGCCAGTGAAAAGAACACCAGACTTAAATCTCGCCTGTGTGTTCTTCCTACATTCTGGTATCCAAAAGCTTCCTCACGGAGATGAACGGCTGACGACACGACCTCTGGCCAGCATGCCACCTCACAGGGTTTGTTTGAGGAGAAAAGGCAACCCGATCAGGAAGGAGCCCATCTCAGTACCAGGCAGAAGGCAGGGCTAAATCAATGCAACTTCTTAAACTCGAAATTTCCAAAGTGCTTTTAAACAGCGGTTAGAGTTCTGACAATTCCCTGGGGGTGTGAGATGGCAGTCAGGGGCAGTGTGGACAGAAGGTGTTTGAGGACACAGCAAGAAAGGTAATTCCAGACACCACCCAAGAAGGAACCTGAGGGAACCAAGCCCTGAGGCCTCCTTCCCAACTTTAAATGTCAAGTGGCTGGGTTATTCCTGGAGCCAAAGATGGAGCACGATAAAGGGATCCCAGGGCCACTGTCCTCCCTTGACACAAACCACAAGGGACTCAAGGTAGGGGAAGAGACAGGATGCCAGGCCTTAAACTCCCGTGAAAAGGTTTCTGTGGGGAGGGCACCAGATAGGCCGAAATCAGCTGTAAAAATCCAAGTTTAGGTACGGAAGAACGAGGTCCCATGATAGGGGATGGGGGTCACAAACCTGCAGCACAGAATAAAATCCACGCTGGTTGAGATGTCCCATGATGTTTGCACAAATGTGGTTCATGGCTGGTCGAAGACTCTCCCCTAAATGAAGAAAGAAGTCTGAGAAAAAAGGCTCTGGCCTTACTGTGAACCTTTTATATGTGGTACAGAATATCACGGCCCAGGCCCGAGGCCATAAAGAAAGTAGATTTTCTCTGGCTTGCTTTCCTACTCTCCCCGCTTTGGTTCGGTACCAGAGTACAGGGAGAGGCCAATCTCCAAAATTCTCTCCCAGAAGGTCCAGCTCAAGTGTCCCCTCTTAGGTGATGAGTCCTGTCACTTCCCTGGCCAGAAGTAACGTCCCCAGCCTCTGAGCGCCTGTAGCACCTCTCCTGATTCCGAGGGTTTGGCACTTTCTGCTCTCTGTGGCTGCCTCCTAGCACACTGGGATATGAGCTCCTTGGAACTCAAGGCCAGAACTCACCCAGTTTTAAACCACCCCCCAATGCCCCTGCCTTAAAATCACCCCTTCTTGGCCGGGAGCCTCTGCACATACAGTTGCCTCTGCTCTCAGTGTTGTCCCTCCTCTTGGCCCCGTGAACGCCTACTCTCCCTCCGGCTCTTAGCTCAGACATCGCTCCTGCAGGAGAGCCCGAGCGCCAGACACAGCGAGGCAGGTCCTCCCCCATCCGCTGAATGCTCTCGCCTCCTGTACCCTTCCTTCCAAGCACTGGCCACACTGCTGTCAGGACATGTTATGAGTTTACGTGTATAGCCTGCCTATGTTCATATACAGTCACAGATCTGTGACTTCCCTTTGGAGTCTGTCTCCCTCACCAGACTCCCTAGTGCTCTGAGGAAGGGCAGGCACACAGCAGGCGTTGGGCACCTAAAGCCCTCCAAGGGCAGTGGCCTCTCTGTCTCTGCAGCGCCTGCGCGGTATCTGGCACGGAGAAGGCTATTTGCCGAACGGATGGATGAAGCGAATGTATGAAACGCGTAAGGCTCAGTGCACTATCCGGGGAAAAGGAGGCAGCTTCACAACACTAATTCTATGGGCAAAATAGAATTATTTGCTGCTCAATGATTCTGACACGAATGACAGGCTTGAGCAAATATTATTGCTTTGAGGCTGAGGTGCTGGGGGTTTTAAAAAAATGAGGTCAGAAGGGCCAAGCCTTTACCCATAAATGCAAAGAAAGGAGAAATCGTGACACGACACTGAACATACATCCTGGATACTGCAGATGCATCTGATGGCAGCGCCAAGGGCATCTTCATCTGTACAGTTTTCGGTCTTTCCCTGAGGCTTACGGCAGTGAACAAGCTTCTCAAAAAGGTGGAAAGGTCCCCAAGCTCACTATGCAAATGCCACCTGGGAAGGGTTTTGAAGCAAGCCCCACAGACCTTTTCCACGGAGAATTTTCCACGTTGAAGTGTCTGTGAAGGTGACAAGCACTGTGAGGTACAGCGTGATGAGTCTGGAGTCCTGTAAAATTTCAGGCTGGAAACAATAGAGAGACTGAGATTAAGACATATGCCCTCCAGTCTCTGACAGCCGAGCATCCACTTACAACCTACCTGGATGCACTCGGCCTCTGAAAAGTGAGTCAGGACTGTCCGAGTTTATTCTTTTTCTCTTGGGCAACGACCACTTTGGGAGTTAAATGACAGAAGTGCTCAAGCATGGAATCTGAAATGCTCTTGGGAATTGAGAATTCTTGGAAAACAAGCTGACTGGAGCTGGCTTGCTGTGAGTACGTACGTATGCGTGCATGCATGTATGTTCAGTAAAGCAGCAGTGTAGAAATCCAATTGAACATTACAGGTACTCTAGGCTCAGATGGCTAGCTTTACCACTGCCTAGCTGTGTGATTTAGGCCAAGTCACTTACCCTCTCTGTACCCGTTTCCTCAGCTGTTGACTAGGGGTAGGATCATTGCTTTCTCCATAGGCTTGTTGTTAGAAATATATGGATTAATGTATATAAAGCACTAAGAACAGTGCCCGGCACGGAGATAACTCTATGGAATACTGGCTATTATTATAATCATAATTCATGCTTGTTGCCAGGTCAAGGCCAAGTGAGTCATTCACAAGTGCCTTGAGGGAGATGGCTACTAATGGATCACTGGAGGCTCTGGGGACATCTGCTCCATCACTCCACTACTACCTGAGTCATTGCCAAACCTCTCCCGGCATCGTGCCAAGTGAAAATGTCTGCCATTTGCAACGACTCACACCTCTGCCCACCTTCTCATAACACAAATGTGAGTACAGGACCAGGAAGGGCCAGTGGCAGTACCCCATCCCTCTTGTCACTGTGACCAGCTCAAGGTTGAGACCAGGATCCCACTGCACCTTTGAGTCCTCCCAGATTTCTAAACCAGTGGGGAGGCCTCCCTTTTCTCTTTGGTCAAGATAGGGTAAGGATTTGAGGCCAGAACTGCTGGCTACCGTGATTCCAAAAGGGAGCAGGGATGAAAGGAACAAGAAGGAGAATCCTAGAAGCTCCTGGTTCTGGTCATCCCTGGCTGCCATGTTACAGAGAACATTCTTAAAAGATATTCTCTTTCTTGCTTAGCTTGTATGTATCACTAGCTGCACTCATGTTTGGTATCTGCACTTGTAACAAGAGGCCTGACTAGTACAGTAACATAAACAATAAATTATCCGTTGTATCAAAAGAATGGAAAGAAAGCCAACAGGTTCCCAATGTTCAAAATACTGCACAGGAAAGAAGGGCTTATTATGATAACGGTATCTAACTCGCTCTCTCTCAGAACAAGGGCTCTAATAATTTCTTACTAGATTTTTTTTTTTTAAAGATTTTATTTATTTATTTATTTGAGAGCGAGCGAGCGAGAAACAGCATGAGAGAGGAGAGGGTCAGAGGGAGAAGCAGGCTCCCCGCTGAGCCGGGAGCCCGATGTGGGACTCGATCTCAGGACCCTGGGATCATGACCTGAGCAGTCGCTTAACCAACTGAGCCACCCAGGCGCCCTTTCTTACTAGATTCTGACAAACTTCCAAAGGAATAACCTATGAATGAATCACGAGGACTCTCAAAATAATGCTAAAGGCCTCCAATGAGAAGAATATATTTATAGGTGTCTTGTTTTGTTTTTACCTTGAGCTGCTCAAGAAACTCACAGCAATACCAAAGAATGTGTTTGATCTGTTTAATCCACAGGAGGGTGAGATCCTTGGAAAGAGCCAGGGACACATACCACACCTACAAGCAAGAGAAAGAGAAACATAATGGGCAGGTACGGAGACCAAATTATATACATTGTAGCTACTGGAATGGGACCAATTTGTTAGGTCCAGTGCCAGAGAAGGCAGTGGAGATGAATGGGTGAGTAAGCAGCAAGCAGTATTTATTTTAATGCTAAACCCAGAGATGAAATAGCCTAGTAAGGGAATTTAGCATCCTGAGTAAGAGGTAAGAGCAGACCATAGCTCTTGGACAATGAAGAGACTAAAAAAATCAGTTGCACTTTGTTAACGTTTTCGATCCATTCCTTACACGCAGGGCTGTGTGTACCTATGCAAAGTCATACCTAACAAAATCCTAACATTCAGCAGGAACTTTCAGAGCCAAGAGACCGGACTGAAAGCTTCCGGGAGGCTGCCCAGTCCCCATCCCGCTTACCTTGGGTTCATTCTCAGCATCCATGCTGCTCAGGATGCAGCGACACAACTTCTCAAATCTCTGCAAAGAGGCAGAGTGGGGGTTATAAATTCCCACAACCAACGGTGAAATGGGAAAGAAGCAAGTGTCCCGTGGGCACCTGGCACATGCAGGCACTTGCATGGAGCCAGATGACTCACATATCTGATCATATTTAATTCCCTCTCATAGATACGGAAACCGAGGATCAGAAAGGCTCATGAAAGGCTCTCAAACTGGTGGCCCACGAGCTGGATGATACCCACACCTGCGTTTCGGACTGGGGCTCCTTTGGAAAAACGAAATCAATCTGGCAATCTGGGCCTGCACTCCTGCAAACTAGAAGCTGTCCCCTGAATCGTGCTCTCCCAGGGGCCATTCTGTAAGCACCATGGACACGGACTTTTGCCTCACAAACTGTCACATCATTTTTCTCTTGAAATGCAAAAGGAAGGAAAGTGGAAACTAAGTTACACTGTCTATCCCAACCCTGGATCCACCCTCAAAAGTGCCATGGCCCTGGGCAGCCACCTCATTACCCGGAGCTATAGTTTCCTCATCAACAGGGGTCACCTCACTGCACCTGCCTGTCCTCATCTGTGTGTCTGTGTGTCCATCACCAGGATAATTCTGCCTCTCTCTGGGCTACAGGCTCCATGGGGCTAGAGACCTTGCGCATCTTGTTTCCTTCCAGGGCCCCAGCGCCTCGAGGAGGGTCTGGCACAATGGGACACTTAGCAGTAATGAATGTCTAATCCCTGGGAGCACAGAGGCACTCCTCAATGGTCTCGGGAGTCCTATTACAGACAACTCGCTGCTCTAGGCTGATCGTTCCAATCCCAAAGGTGCAACCAGCACATTTTGTTTGTGGTTTATAGGATTTGAGAGAAATTTCAAATCAGCTACCAATTTTTACAAATGAGCACAGGACTTCCAGCACCTCCTTTCCAAATCAGAGTAGCAGCCCACCACTGGCTAGAACACAAGAGTGGCTGCCCACTCTTGGGCATGCCACAGACACCATCACTCCCTCTGATGTCCTCACCATCTCCCATCCCCACCACCTCCCGAGGGGTTACTGCTCATTAGGATTTCTCTTATGTTTTGTCCTGTAAATGGCTTCTTTTACTCATTCACCTAATGCCGTGATGATTCTCAGCAGCACTGGGCACAATGCCTACAAAACACGTCCCAAAGAAACAGAAAGGGCAGGATGTGGCAGTCACAGAGTCTATCTCGCAGACTTGCTGTAAGGCCTAAATGAATTCATATTTATAAAATACTTTAAAAAGACCTGGCCGATGGGGAAGCAGAGTGTTCGCTATTGTTTTACCTCATTATCCTCTTTAATTCTGAACAGGAACAGCAGTTTCCTGGCAATCTTAAAAATACAAAGTGCGCTTCTTTTACTGGACTCAGCATCATCTACTTTAAAAAACTCATCGATCTCTCTCCTGGGGAGGGAGGAAAGGATAAGAAAAGAAAAGGAAGGACATTTTAAATTAGCTCACAGCAGCTGGAAGGCTTTTCAAGAACTATAGGAGAAAACACCACCTTTTCTTGCTATTAATTGGGAGCAAGGGAGAATGTGCTGAGTCCCTGGCACCCACCTGATTTCTCTCTGCAGCCGACTCCGACACAGGAAACTCCGAACATGGGCCTGAATCTCAACGGCTGCCCGCTCCCGCTCCTTCTGCACGAGCCTTTCCTCTCGAGCCTGACGGGCCCTATCGATGAACCATGCTCTCGAGGTCTGAGAAACGGTGAACATGTTTGCAAACTTGCACGAACCCTGCAGGGAAAATGGTGAGCAGCCTCTATAGGTCATTCCAGGAAAAAAACACACAGGAAGGGGCTCAGGAGCCAAGGGCAGGCAGGCACTTGGGCAGCAAAGAGCTAGTAGGGACCCTTCTGCGCCCTCCAAAAGGGCTAATAGCTCTCCTGGCACAAGTCTCAACTTCCTATCGGCTCCTTTCACGTGACTCATCTAGACCAGCGATGCTTTTTCCTGTATTAAATAATTACATCTTCTTAAGAGAAAGAGCACAGCATCTGCCATAGGGTATGGGCTCCGTAATCGTTTAACAGATGAACAAAGTATGAATTGATTCCATCCATAAAGCTGTAATGCAAACCAGGCATCCTCCAGGTCAAAGGTTCCTAGATAACCGAATTTTCTGGAACAGTCTAACACTGAGCAGTCAAATTTATTTTGCCAAGTCAAGACTTGGAGGAAAAAAATAAATAAACAATCATTTACTGTCATTATTTCATTCAGCCATTCATGCAACAAATATTTACTGGCACTTATCTTGTGCCTACCACAAAAGAAACCCTTAATTTTTTTGGAAAAAGGGACATTTTCATGCTAAAAAAGCCAAATGTGATTCCAGAATGCAAGACAATCTGTTAAATTGAATATGTTTGGTTTTCTGTAGAACTTAGTCTGCTGTCCTGACTGATCCCATCTTGCCAACGGCCGAGGAAGACTCTGGAGCAGAACTCTGCCATCCACTGACTGGCATGTTTTGGACAGAGCCTCTCAATTATCCATTACATTTTTATCTAAATCACCAGTAACTGTCTTTTCTCAAAGGGGTGGCTTTGGCTATCAGCCTAGCGCACCCAACACTGGCCCAGGGAGCCTCCCACACTGAGATGATTTCTTTGGATGCTTGAAAACTGTCATTCTGTCCCAAATATATAATCAGCCCAGCTGACAAAATGACTGAAATCGATTACTCAGAAATCCCGACTTCAGGAAAACAATCTCTTTACTATGTTACCTCCCTCAAAGCAGTGCCCATGTGAAAACACCATTAAGAATAAAAAGCTCATTCAGGGCTCCCCCCATGTCAACCTACCGAGGGGCCTCTGTGGTCCCTTTTCAACAGGGATTCACATCTGTTAAATAACAAGTCTTTCCCAACACGTGGGTCTCTCATCAAATGAACAAAGCCCACCTGATCACAGAAGGGAGGGTAAGAAGGCAGGGGAGGAAAAGAGAACAGTCTTCTCAATCACCTGCTCTCTCTGCCCAAGCAAGTCTGGAGAGCTCACCTGAGGACCTGCCTGTGACACAGAAACGCCAGGTAATCATTAGTGATGTTGTCGAGGACTCACAGCTGAGGGCAGCTTCTTGCTTCAGAGGAGCGTGTCTTTTCTGGCAAAAGCAGAAGGAAGAAAAAAAAAGTCCAGATTCAGGGTTAAGTTTTTTTTTTTTTTTTTAAGATTTTATTTATTTATTCATGAGAGAGAGAGAGAGAGAGGCAGAGGGAGAACCAGGCTCCCAAGGAGCAGAGAGCCCGATGCGGGACTCGATCCCAGGACCCTGGGATCATGACCTGAGCCAAACGCAGACGCTTAACCATCTGAGCCACCCAGGCGCCCCAGGGTTAAGTTTTATAGGTAGGGCATCCTAGATCTTTCTCACTGAATAAAAATAATAAAAAATGCTTCTGGCTTAAAACAACACTAGTGTCCTTTTTAGTTAACGTCTGATCTAAATGTTACACCGTATCTCCCCAGGCCTTCAGTTTAAAGGGAACAGACTGAAAACAATCCAGAGAAGCTGAATTAAAGCTGTACTTGCTTTATGATAGTAAGAACAGAGGGGACGGAATGTTAAAAAGCCACTGAAAATTATGTTTGACATTTTTTAACAATATGAAAAATGTTTACGCCGGAGAAATGAAAAAAAAGCTGGCTGTGAACCAATATGATCCCAATTACACAATGAAAAAGAAAAATGCATGTGCACACAGAGGCACAAAGCTGGGAAAAATACACCAACATGTTGAGGGCGGTTGTTTGAGGTAGGAAGTTCTGTTTCCTTAACTAGCCTGTTTTCTAAAATTTCTGCAGAAAGCACATGGTGAGGCAGCATGGCACTGAGAAGCACACATGCTTTGGAGTCACACAGAGCTGGAGCCAGTCCCCAGCTCTGCCAGGGACTGCAGAGAAATGCCTCAGAGGCTTTCTGCCTTCATCTCTTAATTGGCAGAGGCAAAGGGGGACCAAATGAGATGGTGTATGTCAAATACCTATCAAGGTGGCTGACAGAGTGCACAGCCAATAAGTAATCAATGCATTATTTTTACAGACATGAATTTTGGGGTTTTTTTGTTTTGTTTTTTTAACTTCTTTGGTAGGGGCGCCTGGGTGGTTCAGTTGGTTGAGTGTCTGCCTTTGGCTCAGGTCATGATCCCGGGGGTCTGGGATCTGGCCTTGCAACTGAGTCGGGGCTCCCTGCTCAGTGGGGAGTCTGCTTCTCCCTCTGCCCCTCCCCCTGCTTGTGCTCCCGCTCTCAAATAAAATCTTTTTTTTTTTTTTTTAAGATTTTATTTATTCATTCAAGACACAGAGAGAGAGAGAGAGCACGAGCAGGAGGAGAGGCAGAGGGAGAAGCAGGCTCCCCGCTGAGCCAGGAGCTGGACATGGGGCTCGATCCCAGGACCCTGGGATCATGACCGGAGCTGAAGGCAGATGCTTAACCATCTGAGCCACCCAGACGCCCCTCAAATAAAATCTTTAAAAAAAAAAAAAACTTCAGTAGAGGCTCTCATCTGCATAGTCACACAGGTTCTTTGGGTAGGAAATAGTGCTGGGACCAGTACATTCTTCACCCATTAAATTTTGTCCTATCCCTGGGTGCACTAAGATTCACCAGTCCTGTCACTTGGGCTAGGACCCTGTTTAGATTGAGTAACAGCTTCAAGCTCCTGAGAGCTGCCAAAGAAAGGGCCCAAGCCATCAGTACAGTGGTCTGATCATTCTTTAACATGTAGACAGTCCCTCACGGGGGGTGGTGCGCACAAGGTGTGAGGAGGAGAGTGAGCCTCTTCTCAATGGGAAAACCGGAGGACGCATAGGCAAACTGTGACAAGGTAGCTGTAAGACTACCTCAAAACTTTTACTTCTCCCAGGGGGCCTTGCAGAACAGCTCTTCCTTGAAATTTCCATCCCCTCAGCAATACGATATGTTTCTGTTTACACCATAGTCTGTACTTTGCAGTTTTTCTAATTCCTTCTTATTCACTTCTTCTATGTGCCTAGAATCTACTAGTTATCAAAGAAATAAAGCTCATTATGAAGTCTTTATATATTCAAAGTTACTGTAATGAAAGATTACACAAACTGACATAATCAAAGAAAAGGCTGTATGTAGTAGAAAAAACCCTGGATCAAAGTACCCTTGGTTCTTTTTAGTTCTGATTCTACCTCATTTGGCCAAATTGCTTAGCCACTTTAGGCCTTAGTTTCTTTATCTGTAAGTTGAGGATAATAGTACCTACCTCCTAGGGGTGCTAAAATAATTAGTTGAAACATTTACACTTCTATTGTGACCTAGTCAACATGACACTCTGACAGGATTAAGTGGGAAATTTTTAACAAGGAGTATCTGAAAGCAGATAGCAGGTAACTGAGCTTTACTGTTATCATCTAGGCTTAAAAAACAAACAAACAACAACAAACAACAAAAAGCTTACCATCCAGTTAGGGAAACGATATATGTGGAAAAATTAGAAACACAAGAGGTTGGTGATAACCGAGATTATTTAAAAAGCAAAAAGGAAAACAGTTGATTAAATATCCATTATGCGTCACGTCCCTTCTACATAGTAAGACCAGCAACCATGTGAGATCATTTAGTTATGTCCCATAGTCCATGTTAGACCATTATTAAGGGGCAGAGCCAAGATTTTAATACTAAGAGACAGGACTCAGACACTTTTCTACTTCTGTATTCCCATGGTATCTGCTCAAAATCAGTCTTCCCTGGATGAGGTCAGCTTCATGGAGAATTATCAAAGAGTCCAGAGAGTATCATCCAAAGGTGAAGCATCATAAATATCAACTGCTGTCTGAGCCCAAGAGGATTTCCCCGCTATGGTGGAAGAGCTGGGCAGCCAAGTTTAGTGACAACCACCATTTGTTAGGGGGGTTCATGTATCAGACACTGCACAGATATTTAACTAATTTTGTCTTTCAACAGCCCTTGAAGGTCTCAGGGGTCCAATTTTTAAAGAATAGGCAACAGGACTTAGACTATTAAGAACAACAGCTATCATTTATTGAAGGCTACAGCCTATCCAGGTACGTGTAATTATCAATCCCACCTTCACACAGAGAAAATGAAATGTAAATGGGACATGACTTGGGCGCCTGGGTGGCTCAGTCCTTAAGCGTCTGCCTTCGGCTCAGGTCATGATTCCAGGTCCTGGGATCGAGCCCCGCATCGGGCTCCCTGCTCTGCGGGAAGCCTGCTTCTCCTTCTCCCACTCCCCCTGCTTGTGTTCCCTCTCTCGCTGTCTCTCTGTCAAATAAATAAATAAAATTAAAAAAAAAAGGGGGGGGGACATGACTTGTGAGAGGTCACTAGACTCCTGAATTCGAAGCCACCTCTAACGCCAAAGCTATTAGTTAAGTGAAACAGACAAGACCAAGGGACTCTGTCACTCACAGGACAGCAAAGAAAAGCTGAGTAGGCAAGGCTGCCGCTAGGGCTAAGTTTGCGTCCATTTACACCAAGTTTTTCTTATTGAAATCATTAACACCAGCTGTCTCTACTGAGAGAGCTGAGTGTCAGATACTAAAACTTGTTATTACACAACCTCCTCTGTGAAACGAGCTAATTACTCCATTTTACAAAGCAAGAAACCGAGGCTCGGAGAGGTGAGGAAACTCACCCAAGGTCACAGAGCGAGTGAATAGGACTCGAACTCCGGTTTGGGTGACTCCTGAGCCCAGCATCTTCCCTCGGCATCAACATAATAACAAATCTTTTTCACCCAGCATTAGTCTGTCTATAAATAGCCTATCGTCCCAGAGATGAAAAAGGGTGGAAACGGCTACGACGAGATTCCCCCCTGGAACACGAAAGCCAGTCCCCAACACCTGCCCTCCGACTTGGGGAGGCAGGGACCCGGCCAAAGGGCCACCTCCCTCAAAGTCCCCACCCACCACCGGAGAACCCCCAACCCTGTTCCCACTCGCTACCCACAGGCCGTAGACCGTTATCCGCTCGAGGCCCCCGCGCTCGGGGTCGAGGCCGCCTCAGCTCAATACCTTCGAGCTTTGCCAGACCCGGGGCAGCGGCCGAGGCCCGACCGCCATCTTGCCCCGGGGTGTCCGCTCTCAAAGCTCCGCTGGGAAGCAACTATCCAGTTCCGGTGAACGACAGTTCCGAAGAGCTTCTGTACCCGGGAAGGACGACCTCCCTGCATCTTTCCCTCCTCTTTGGAAGGTGAAAAAAAAGGGGGCCATTCAAGAGCGGGTTAGTGCCCGATCCAGCCAAGAGAAGATGCAACCCCCTCCAGCCGGGGAGCCTGGAGGGAACGCAGCTAATGTGTAGACTTACGACGGACCCTTTAAGACAGCACCCTCTGAGGGGCGGAAGCGGGCTGCGGCAGCGGAAGTTCCCGCCCCGGCCCCGCCTCTGCCCCCGGCTCGCGCGAGCTGGGTGTTTCCTGCCTCTCTCAGTCCGGGTTTGGAGACTCTGGCGTCCTCCGACTTTTCATGGTAGGGAGGGCGTTGCCCACCGACTGGGGCCTCTGGGCGGCGGGGAGAGCCCGGCAGAGGCAGAGTAGAGAGAGAAGGGGCTGAGGGGGGGTGTTGCGATGAGGGACTGTCGCGAAAAGGGGAGAGGCGGTTGGGGGATTGGAGGGGGGCGAGGCCGGGGGTGGGGGAAGGGCTTCGGTGGATAATTGGAACGGGGGGTCCTTGGCTGTTCAGGATCTGGAAAGAGCATTTGGGCTTGGGGGAATAGATTTGTGTGTGGGTGAGTTGGGGGGGGGGTGTCTCTGAGTCTTGAGTGCTCATTGGAAATGGGATTGGTGATTATGAAGAGAACAAAGAGGGGTCGTCGAAGATGGACATTGGGGTGGAAAGTGAAGGTGGGAGGGTGTTGCGAAAGAAAACGGTTAGGTTATGAAAGAGCGACGTGGGATTCCTTGGGGCGGAGCGTTTGGGGGGTTTTTGGAAGTTGTGACTGCAGTCTCTGGGTTTCGGGGAGGTGGAGAAGGGACTTCCAGGTGCTTCTAAACACAAGGGCGAGTGGAGGGGGCGGGGGGAGAAATAGAGGCAGCTGGAGGGCAGACGTGCATCGGTGCCTGGAGGGATGCCGGGGGCCTGAGGTCAGGGTACCTTCACCCCACGGAGCCCAGCGCCCTTAACTGGCGCTTTGGTACCTATCTAGTCACTTCCGTTGGAGCCCGAAGGGCCACACCTAAGGAGCTGGGAATGGGTCACATGCTGTCACACAGCTGTGGGAATGGTTCTGTTTGCTTGTGATCCTTTAAGGGTCTATACCTTAAATGGCTCTTTGGCCCTGGGTGGGAATGACCAGAGTTCAGCCTTGCTCTTTTACTTCTTCTTTGCCTGTGTCTTTCCTGGAAAATGCAGTCTTTAGAGAAGATGAGTTTCAAGGACCCTGCTGAAGAAAATTTAGCCAACCTGTATCTGACTTTGCTCCATTTTATGCAAAATCAGGACCACCTGAGGGGAAGGAGGCATTAAACCAGTGTGGTTCTCAAACTGGTCCCCAGACCAGCAGTGGCAGCAGCATCACCTGGGAACTTGTTAGAAATGGCCAAATTTTCAAGCCCTACCACTGACTACTGAATTAGTCTGGGGGTCGGGCTCCTCAATCTGTTTTAACACGCCCTGTGGGAGATTAATAATTTCTTGATTTGGGTTTTGTAATGAAAGGGGCCTGAGTCAGAGGACGCTTATAGTTCTGATTCTTCAGTTTTCTCCCCTAAAAAATGGGATTGATGATGACATCTTCACTGGACCCCTGAGAGAAAGAGGCCAATAGTTTGCAGGTTACCCAGAGGGAGAGAAAGTAATTTAGCAGAACACTTGGAAATAGCAGTAGCTGCCCTATAAGTAAGTTTTGGATGCAAAATAATACTACAGTTATGTGGATGATGTAATGCGGTTTGGTTGAAATGGAGCAGCAGACTTTCCTGAGTTGTAGAAATGCCCTTAGTTTGGGCAAGTTTTATAGTTAGCCAAAAGGTAGTGACTCTTCGATCAAGCTGGTTAAAGAAACACCTTAGCTCTGTGGCTCTTAGCTGGGGCTGCACCATAGATCATCTGAAGAGCTTTTTAAATACTGCTGAGCTACCCCCCCCCCCCATTCTGATTAATTGGCCTGAGGTGAAGCCCAGGCGTCTGCTTTTAAGTGCACCCAGGTGATTGTAGTACAGCCTGGGCTGGGACCTCTGGTCTTTAAGTTTGAGGGACCTTAAGGGCCAGGTGCCAAGTACTTTAACATTCATTCCCTGAAGCTTATTATGAAGATTATGGCTTTGCCTTCACTTTACAAGGTAGGAAACTGAGACTCAGTTAAAACGCTTGTCTGAACCTCACACAGGAAGTGGTGGAACTGAGACTAGTCTAGGTTGCTCAGACTTTTTTTTTTTTTTTAATTTGACAGAGAGCGAGCGAGAGCAGGAACACAAGCAGGGGGAGTGGGAGAGGGAGAAGCGGGCTTCCCGCCGCAGGGAGCCCGATGTGGGACTCAATCCCAGGACCCTGGGATCATGACCTGAGCCGAAGGCAGATGCTTAACGACTGAGCCACCAGGCGCCCGGTTGCTCAGACTTTTGATCGAACCTTCCACATGCACATCTCCCCCCAACACACAAGAGAGAGACAGTTCCACAGAAAGCTGTATAGAAAACATCCAACAGTGAGAGATTTGGTGCCTTTTTCTCCTATTGTACTTGCCCAAGCCTCTTTTCAAGTCAACACTTTTCCTCCTTGGGCTGATTTTTATTTTTTAAGTATGTATACAGTTGCTTCCTGTCTGTGGCTCTGAAGCTGTGAGATGGGGGCTGGCTTTTGTTGATGATGCTTTGGTTTATTTTTATGTGTGATCAGGAATTCACTGGGCCAATAGAACAAGAGGTTGGGGAGCTTCTCCAAGATGATGAAGTTAGTAGGTGTACAGAACTGTTTAGAGCAGTGGGTTGCAATCTCGGCTGCACATTGGAATCACCTAGGGGAGTTTTAAAAAACTTCTGTTGCCCAGACCATACCCCCAGACCAGTTAACATCAGAATTTACACGGATAGGACCCTCATGTCAGTAATTTTTTTTTTAAGTGGAGAGCCACTGTTTAGAATCTGCAACAGGATACTCTGGGGAGATCTAACTGGATTAAACTTTTCTGATTGAATAGAATTGGTAACCAATACCTCAAGTATCAATTCCGTCTTTGTTTCTTGTAACCAGTTTTGCTGTCTCTTGTCCCACCTCCCCAACCTCATTAATGATGAAATCAAATCTTTGAAACAAGTGAAAAAGCAGGATCCCAGGAGCAATGGCTGGGGAGTCTTCTGTAGAGAGATATGCTGGGAGAGGCTTATTGTCTGCTGCTTTGTGTCCTTAGCTCAGTGTCATGCAGGCTCAGGGACATGAACAATCAGAACCTTTTATCCAAGGGCCATTCCCAGTATTGAGGTGACTGACCTTTGGAAGGGTGGGCTCCGGAAAGGTTCAGAGCTTTGTCTATTCCGGAGTCTCAAGCTAGATGCATCCGGATGGTTTCTGCCTTTATCTCTTAGTGATTCGGGTGGATGTCAGTAGAGATGGAAATGGTCTTCAGAGAGAAGATAATTTGAGTCTTTGAGAGCATTCTCAAATAATCATAGTGTGAGTCTTCTGTGTTGGGGTGTGTGCTCTGAGCCGGCGGCCGAGCTGAGTGCTCTGTGGCATCCCTCACAGCAGTCCTGGGAGGGAGACACTGCTGTAGTCCCTGTTTCATAGACAGGACAAGACTCAGATGACTCGCCCAGGCTCCCACAACTGGTCAATCAATGGCAGGGCTGGGCGCTTAAATTCAGGTCTGACTTCCAAACCCACGCACTTAGCCACACATTGCCTCCCATCTTTTTTTTTTTTTTTTTTAAGATTCTATTTATTTATTTGAGAGAATGAGATAGAGAGAGCATGAGATGGGGGAGGGTCAGAGGGAGAAACAGACTCCCTGCCAAGCAAGGAGCCCGATGCAGGACTCGATCCCGGGACTCCAGGATCATGACCTGAGCCGAAGGCAGTTGCTTAACCAACTGAGCCACCCAGGCGCCCGCCTCCCATCTTTTTTTCAAAGCTTTTTTAGTACTTGATAAAGAAGGGGGGGTGGGGCACTCCTTTCTCAACGTATATGTTCCAGTTCTATGTATTTCAAGCATGAATGTTGATAAAATCGTGGGCTCAAAGCCACACAGGACTTGCCCCTATCCTTGCTCTGTCACTGACCCACCTCCAGTATCAGTGCACTTTGGGAAGTGACTGAACTTCTCTGGGATATGCTATCCGAATCTACTAGCTGGAAATAACAGTAGCTGTGTTCCAGCATTGTTTGGATTTTAAATGTTGTATGTGGTGGTAGAGATGAAAACTGGTATCTTCTTTGGGGGGGGGGGGCGTGGAGGGGCTTTCTGGAACCATGAAAATGTTCTCGATTTTGATCAGAGTGGTGGCTGCACAGATCCATATGCTGGCCAAAACTCCTCAAACTGCGCACTTAAAATATACTTTACTGGAGGCAAATTATCTTTAAAAAGGTATTGGAAAGTAAAAGTACATTGAAGTATACTTTATGATTTTTTGTTTCGTAGGTGCCTTACAAAATGCTAGACCATTTCCCAAAACACGTATTTTTGTGTAAATTTAGATCTGAAAGGGTGCTTTAAAGATTTCCATTTTGGAGCAGTTTTCCCCAACTGAAAAACCCCAAAACTCCACACCTGTAGGCCTTCACCCTCTTCCTGTGCCCTAGGTCTTCAAAGTTTTGAGAAACTCTTTCTTCTCCCAAGCTATCATCCCATGGACAGAGTATTTCTGGGGCGAAGTGTTGGTGATAACCTTTAGTGTAGGGTTTCTGGGGACTGATTTCAAAGGAAAGCTGGAAGGGAGGGGTCACTGCTTTCTCTCTGCCTCTTATTTGTGGCGTTAGGCCATAGAGACCCCAGGTGAGTTAAGCTTGAGCTTTTGAATACCTTCTTGGGATATATTCACTTGATGAAGCAAGAGCACTTTCTTGAGAAAACACTTTTCTTTCCAGGAGTCCATTCTTCCTGTGCCGTTCTGCAGGCCCCAACAGGAGCCCCCCAGTGGTTGATTTCCAGGCCGCTCTTTTGGGTGGATGGAGGTCGAGAGGGTTGGCCCTTGCCTCTGCTATTCCGGATCACTGGACAGCAGGTTGCCACTCATCATTAGCCCCTTCTCCCATTG